TTTGGAGGTGAACCAACACTCTTCAACAAATTTCTTAGGCAGTTTGAAACCCAAATAGTTCAGTATACAACCTCAGACGATGAAAAGATGACTTATTTGGAACAATATACGTATGGTCAACCAAACAGCATAGTATCAGGCTACAGTCATTTAGATGCAAATATTGGATACCCTGCAGCATTAAAGGATTACATGTCCGATGCTTATAAAAAGAAAGTTTTGAACACAGATCATATAAAATACGGGGATCGTGTCAAACTGGACGAATCTGGAATAATTTTGGCTGAATGTTATAATGCAATTTCCAGCATAGATATCTACAGAGCTTTAGAAAACGTACACGCAGATTTTAGTCGGAAAACTACCTACCAACTTACAAGAAAGATGGCTAACGATGCTTCACAACAATAAAAGGAAAGCAACCTTTGAATTATTTGTCACCTTTGTTAAAGAAGAAGCAAAGAAAGTCAACGACCCCATCTTCGCCATGTCACAATATGTCGCACCAAAATCTGGATCTAAAATTCAACCTGTATCGAAACCATCGTGGAACAAGCCAAGATCAAATGGAACCTATGCTTCAAATCTAACAGATGAACAAGGTTTGAAGAAAGAAACTTGTGCTTATTGCCAGAATGGACATTTTTTAGGGGTATGTAGGAAGTTTGAACGATTGGTACATGATGAAAAGATCAACTTTCTCAAAGGAAAAGGCTTTTGTTATGGATGTCTTAAATTGAATTGCGAGAAATGCTCCATGAACCATCCTTCTATTCTTCATCTAGACGTTAAGCCTACGTCACTGAAGAAGAATATACCGGAAAACCCACCACACGAAACAAAGATGAAAACTTCTGCAAGTACAATAGATAGTAGCCCCATGGGAGCCGGTGACCAACTCGAATGCACAATGGCTATCATTGCAGTTAAAGTTAAAACTAAAAATGGTCTTCATCTTAAAGACACCTATGCCTTCTTACTCTTAGACCCAGGAAGTAATGTATCTTTTATAAGTTCCCATTTGCTATGGGATCTAGAATTACAAGGAACATCTACGAAAATCAAATTGGAGACGATGGGAAAAACTGTTACCTTAGCCTGTAAGATAGTTAAGGACTTAGAGATCTATAGTCATGACTTACCTGACAGAATTGGAATTCCTAAATTGTACTCCAAGGATAAAATGCCAGTTAATGAACGACACATACCCACTTCAAAAGATGTTGAACATTGGGATCACTTGAATAATCTACCAATTCCTCATCCTGATTGTAAAATTGGCTTGCTAATTGGAAATAATGTACCTGATGCCTTTACACCTAAAAGGGTTATTACTGGACCAAGAAATAGTCCGACCAAGGAGCGCGATTTCAACGTAAACTTCATCTATGTTGTCTAAGAAAACGAAAATTTGAATCAGCTGGACAGAATGGTGAGATTGTCGACGTCGTTTGACTTTCCAGAGAAACTCTCCGACGAGAAAGAAGAACATTCTATACAGGATAAACGATTTTGAAGGAAATTTGTAGTCTGGCTAGATTCAACATACATAAATGGATTAGCAACGATAATGATGTCATGGATTCGATTCCCGCATCCGAAAGAGCCTCATCCATACAACTGTCTTTTGGAGATGATGACTCCATAATGGAAATGGCGTTATGAGTAAATTGGTGTGTCAATTCAGACAAACTCACGTTTAAGATAGACATTGAAGACAAACCGAAAACAAGAAGAGGTCTGTTGAGTGTAATCGCTTCCGTCTTCGATCCACTTGGTTTCGCCGCACCTGCACTGCTGCCACCAAAACTCCTCTTGCAAGAACTGTCACAAAAGGGATTTGGTTGGGATCAGCCTCTCGGCGACAATCAACAACGGTTATGGACAAAATGGGTGGAAGATTTGCCTACATTAGATACTATAGCAATTCCGAGTTAAATGCGTTAAATCACATAATTTTGATAAACTGGTAAAAGCAGAGTAACACGTCTTCTCCGATGCATGTCAACGTGGATATGGTGTAGTTTCTTATCCCCGTCTTATTGATAATAAAGGAACCATATCCTGCTCACTAGTTATGGCAAAATCTAGAGTTTGTCCACTCAAAAAGGTGACAATACCTCGATTAGAATTGACAGCAGCTACCACAGCAGTTAAACTAACCAAGAAGATTGAACAGGAATTATTCAGCATGGACTTATAAACCACATACTGGACCGACAGTACAGCTGTATTATACTACATTTCAAATGAAGAAAACCGATACAAGACTTTCGTAGCCAACCGTGTTACACTTATTAGATGAAATACAAATGTAAGTCAGTGGAAGTACATCAATACCGTTGACAACCCAGCCGATGAAGCCTCAAGGGGTCTGACCGTGGAATCCTTGGATAAATCCGACAGATGGTTTAATGGCCCAGAATTTCTGAGAAAACCACAAAGTGAATGGCCTGAATATCAATATATTACTTAAAGAGCCGCCTGTATCCTTTGAATCCGAAACCAAGAAATCAACGAATGCAGTTGTTATCAATGAAAAACACACACTTGACAAACTCTTATCCTACATCTCGTCCTTTATTCGAGTAAAAAGAGCAATAGCCTGGCTAAAATTGATAACCAGAGAATTAAAGAAGAAGATTCAACTCAAAAAGAGGTGATGAAAAATAAATCGAACAAAACTACCAACATTCTTACAGTAGAAAACTTAGAAGAAGTCGAAGAACTTCTAATATTACACGAACAGACAAAATACTTTGGCAATATTGAAAATGGATCATCCAAGATATTTAAGGAAAAACATATGACGAAGCTAGATCGTTGCGTGTTGAATAGAATCCTGCTAGTAGGAGGTCGCTTAGAAAGATCAACATTATCTCTGGATGCAAAACACCAGATTATCCTGCCGAAACAGTCACGACTTTCAGAACTCCTCATCAGACACGCACATGAGTGCGTAGGACACCTTGGAAAAAATTATATCTTATTAGAATTGAGGAAGAAATATTGGATATTTGGAGCCTCGGCGATCATCAAATCTATCGTAGTAAGATGTACAACCTGTAGAAAACACTCTGCAAAAACTAACAAACAGAAAATGGCTAACCTACCAGCTAATAGAGTTTTACAGGACTTGACTTCTTTGGGCCATTTGAAATTAAACAACGGCGCACTACAGTCAAGAGATATGGAGTAATCTTTACTTGCTTCAATACCAGAGCTATTCACCTCGAAATATCACATTCATTGGACACCGATTCCTGCATCAACGCAATTCGACGACTCATTGCCAGAAGCGGAAAACCGAAGTCAATCAGACCAGATAACGGATCGAACATAGTTGGAGCAGAACGAGAACTTCGCCATGCTATTAATGTATGGAATCAGAAACGAATCAATGATACCCTGGTTCAACAAAATATCAAATGGGAATTTAATAATCCTGCAAGCTCACACCATGCAGGTGTATGGGAGCGTCTCATCCGGACAGTCCGTAAAGTTCTCTTCTCTCTTCAGAATAATCATACGATTCGATTAGATGATGAATCTCTTGCCACCTTAATGTGTGAAGTTGAATCAATCATCAATGGACGACCTTTAACTAAAATGTCTGAATCGCCCAACGATCTTGATGCTTTAACTCCAAATCACTTATTGTTGACTGGAACAAATACTTACTTGGCACCTGTACAGTCAAGTGAAACGATCAGTATGTTCGACGCAGATGGCGCCAAGTTCAATATTTAACTGATCTGTTCTGGAGACGCTGGACGCTTGAATATTTGCCGATTCTCCAAGAAAGACAGAAATGGTTGGAGGTGCAAAGAAACTTAACTATTGCAGATATCGTGATGGTTGTCGACAATAGTATTCGAAACTCATCCAAGAGCAACATTCTTGAACGTCCTATCACCAAACTATGTACCAGACAATTGATAAATCGCTTTGAAATAATAAGTGACAGTATTGATCATATTGAAGATTAATATAGTATTTAACAATTTTATCTGTGAATATGTTACGTTGTTATTTAATTACTCAGTGCATGACGATATTCAGATATTTTGATTGTTTCATTGATATTTATGTTTATGTTGAAATTGTTGTAATTGTTCCTACTTTGTAACAATTAGGGAGCCGGAATGTAATCTTTTGCGACGTAAGTACGCTTTTGCGTCTGGATGACCTAAACTCAACGTCATTAGTGATTTCCCCTTAAAGGCTGACGACGTAACTATAAATTTATAGACGTCATTGGACGGTTACGCCAATTTGACAGTTTATTTTTGTTTTGATTTTTCGCATGGATGATTTTTTTGAGTCTACTTTCTAAAAAGAATATTGTGTGGTTCAAAACAATTCGGTAAGATATTTTATAGAAAATCATGAAATCACATATATTTTTTTAATAAGCACCAAATTTTCCCTTTTTACAAAGTAGTACAATTTTACTCTATGCATGATGTTACGTTCACCTTTTAAATTTGTTGCTTTTATCTTTTTACAGTTAATCATATTATCAACATGAAATATTAAAGAATTAAAGAATATTGAACTTTTTGCTGATTGTATTAACGAGAATCCACACTGCCTATACTCTGTAGCTTTCCATCTGTCAATTTCACTGAGGGAACGGCACTTTCTGGGACATTCACATAGCAAGCAAGACTGAAATGCAATCAGTCTATCAGATATTATCCTTACTTTGTTTGCACCAATACGACAGCCATTTGGTGTGGGACCCTTCATCCACAACCATGAAAGTATTTTTTATCACGCCTAGATGAACTAGATCCAACGGAGATACCATTCCTGACAGATGAAGAAAGGGTGATAGAACACCACTGACACTGTGGTGATCAGGATCTGCCAAGTCAACAAAACTTTCATCAGTGCGAAGACCTGAGTCTGTTCGTGGAAAGGTGACTTTGTCTTTCCAAACACCGTGTTTGGAACACTTTTCACAGCCATGGTAAGCATTGTGCCCCTTGACTTGCTCTCGCTGGAGCATCACAGATAAAGAGTTGAACTTTAACACTGACATCTTCTGACAAATTCAATGTCATACCGTTATGTTGCATTTCTTGGATTTCAGTGACAAAATCTTGGAGATTTTCCTCAATGTCTCCAGGTTTCTGTTCTCCTGAAAACAAACCAATTATTAAAGGAGTGGATTTAAGTTCAACAATTCTACCTAGTATGGGCCAAAACTTTTAAATAATGGCAATCCATCAATATTTACCTGAATATTGAAACAGGTCAAAGTCGAAGGAATACCTTCAGGACACAGAGCTGCTACCTCCAAAATTCCTTTAGCCATGCCAAAATGATAGTATTGCCCACCAGATATTTCCTAAATTGTGTAGCTGGTCTGGGTTGCAAATAGTGTTCGTGGATCTCTTGGCAAATGTGGGAAAGGACCATGAAAAATTTTTAACAATCCGTGCATGGCTACCTGGCTGATACTGGAATCTGTTGCCCAAACAGATAGTTCTGTTTTCAGATCCAAAACACCTCTTTCCTCGCTAACATCACATTCCTCAGAATCAGACTCGGAGTAAGAGTACCAGCTTTCAACTGAAGTTTCACTGAAATTATCTTCAAGGGCCTCCACATCATTGACCTTAACATCAGCATCATTGACCTCAACATCAGCATCATTGACCTCAGCATCACTGATCTCAACATCATCGACCTCAGCATCAGCTTCATCAACCTTATTACAGGTCTCAGTCCCTGCATCATCGGCTTCATTATTTCCGACGTCGGCTTTACCAATCTCGACATCACCGACCTCAGTATAAATATTAAACACTTCAGCATCAAAATTATCAGAATCCGATTCTGTGAGAGATTGAGCATTCTGACATTCACTTAGCCAAACTTCAATATCTTTCATATGGGATGAAGCATTATCCTTAATCCTTCTACGCTGAGTCCAGTAAGACCCCCCAGAGCGTGTACGCTTCATAATCGTAGCAAAAAAGAAGAAAAAAGTGAAATATGTATGTCTTTGTTAGGGTGCTCAAATTATGGATTACTACATGAAGAACAAGATCTAGGCTAAAAATGAAAATGAGCAGAAAAATGTGGACGTGAACCTGCTAGTATAGACAATATACAGGACACACTATCAAAAAAAGGTTAAAAAACCTTCGGATATAGTTACGTGCAGTAATCTCAAATAGGATGCTTTAGAAAGGTGTTGGATTTTTTGGATTTTTCATATTCGCTACTAAAGACTGTACTAGGCTTAAGTCAAATATGGCGGTGTGGTAGGAGAACGTCTCTGCAGAAACACAGGCCCGCAGCAAGAAGATCAAAATTTGAAAAAAATAAAATCGCAAATGATAAATATTTATACGCAAGATAAATTATAAAAGAAAAAAAAACACTCCTAACAATATTAAGTCATTTATTGAATTATTGTTGGAGGAGTGCTGACCTAGCTAATACCAGAGAGAGCCTATATAAATTATGTAGGCCAATTCATTATAGTCATTCTACTCGCAAGTCTACTTCTTAAAACATTTTCAAATAGAACATATAAATGAATCCTTAAATGCTGTATATCATTCTAATTGCAATAAAATTATCTAAAAGAATGTGTACAAGTTTTCTTGTATTAGATTAAGTGTTTTCTTGTTAGGACGAGTTGAAAGCGACAAAGATGGGACATTTGTCGTGTAAGGGGAGATAACTCAGTGATCCCAGACCACATACCTTTAGATCCAAGTAGGCTGTGAATATTTGACTTAGTGGCGTTTCTACGGGCACTTTCAAATGTTTTATCATGGAGTTCGTTAACGACAAGTGCTGTTAACCTCCTTCCCCACCCCCAATTTTGTGGCCGCTGTTTACTTGACTCTCCCACCTAATGATTTCTAGAAACACCACTGATATGACCATCCGTAGTGTTTTCGGGTTAGAGGGCCTGGTTCACCACTGGTTTGACTCTTACCTACGACTACGTCAATTCAAAGTGAATGTTGGAAATAGCTATTCAAAGGATCAGTGTTACTATACAGAAAGTAGTTTCATCATTATCCTGCACGGTTATGCAGATGACGGAATCGTTTCGTTCTACGGGTCAAAATGAAGAGCAACCCGTTTCTAATTTAGAATCTACTGCCAGACGTATAAACGATTGGATGAATACTAACAGTCTCCGTATGAATGCATCCAAAACGGAATTCATCACGTACGGGTCAAAGGCTCAACTCGACAAGTTCAACAAACATTTCATTAACATCTGTGGTAGTTCTGTGTAATAGCGACTCGGTTAAATATCTTGGTGCATATTTGAACTGAGAGCTGTCTCTAAAATATCTCATTACTGTTAATAGTCAAGCTGCAATGATTGGCATAAGAAGACTGTAACCGATTAGAAAGTTTCAGACCAGAGATACAGCAGAAACAATAGCACTGAGTATTTTCATTAATATACCACAATGTGACATAAATCGACTTCTGAGGATACAGAACATAGCAGCGAGAACAGTGCTGGGTAATGAAACTGAAACATCAACTACAACTCGTCTCAAAAAGCCACATTGATTGCCCATCAGACTCTGAATTAAACACAAGGTTTTGACAATAGTGTATAAAGCCTTAGCTGAATAGGCTCCAAAATATATCAAAGATATGTTAGTGATAAAAGGTTTAGAGTAGAGGTGTGATATTATACTAATAAAATAATAATATCTTAAAGTACCAATAATAGATGGGCAAACATTTGCGTACCAAAGACCTGCTTGGTGGATTGCAGAAAAGTAGGACGTAAAACTCCATTCATTTCATTTCATTTCTGTTTGGTGGATTGATGAATTCTAATAGAATAATTTTTTGTAGGATCTTGTCAGTATTTCTGTGATAAATTTTTAACATAGTGTTTTTGTAGGATCTAGTCTTGATGTATATGGACTATGTTATTGTTACATGTACTTACTTTTTATTACGTATTGTCTTTTAATTGATATGAACTTTGTCTAAAGAAACAAAGATTGATATTTATATTAAGTACATGCATGTGATTTTTTGTTTTGTAAAGCGCTATGACATGAATGGTATAACAAATAACAGTCACAATGACTTCTAGAATTACATATTCTAAAGTAGGGTTTACAAAGGCAACTTCCTTCTTTCAACCTTGTTCAACACACACTGGAAACCAAAAAAGTTGAAAGAGGTTGTCTGTCTAAACATGTTCTGCAACCTGTTGCAACCTCCACGCTACAACCTTTCTCATCCTGCAACCAAATTGGTTTCAAAAGCTAAATTTTGTTGATATTGCCCTAGTTGCTACTGGCTCTAGGCACTTTGTACGCATCGCATGACCAATATGTGTTTTTTTATATAGATTTCGAGTTCCGTTTTGCTCCATTCCAAATTCCTTTCCGACGTCCGTGGTTCTTGCAATTCCACTAAAATGATGAAACTGTCGAAAGTGATTGATCTAGACTGTAACCTATTCAAATACTTTCTTTAAGATCCACATTTGATTGATTCCATTGCGAGAGTAAATTGTATTGCATTATTTCTGAGCACCCCCTGTTACTGTAAATATTGATGTAAGTAATTTTGAAATTGATTTTGTTGATCGTAGAGAAGAACTCTCCCTAAAAAGAATCTCGGCATGTGAACAAATACAATTTACTTCGAATTTCCAACATCATTTTCCTCGTTTAGCGTTACACATGCTGTCTCAAAGAAGATCACAAGTGAACACGGCTACTATGAGAAGTTCAAAATAATAGTTCTCAATCACTGAAATTCTTAGGACATAAGTATGGCACATTTTGTGGGAGGACATGGATCGTTTTATGGGCAGTCGTCAACATACAAGTGTGCCCATTTTCATGTGATGTGCATTTAAAATGATCTTGACAATTTGTGGTAAATTTTTCATAAGATGAGTTTCTTATTTGAGAGAAAAACTTCATCGTTACGGACGGCAGTGCGTTTATAAATAGGCTACGATTTGCAGTTGATACCAAATAGCGAAGTTCGTTGATAAGACAGTCATGATAGTATCAGATATATGGATATTCTTTTGAATTTATTACATAAAATGTTTCGAAAAACATACACGTATTATAACGTTATCAAAGGAAATGATGAAAAAACAATTTAAAATTTTAAACATAAAGTACGAATTGCACACATTAACACGAAGACCAGTGGTACCAGTGCTAACCCAGATTGGACAGCATTAAATATATATCTCATAATATCAAAGATGTGTGGTACGAGTGCTACACCAGATCCGACCCAGATTTGGCAACACTATATTTCTCGTAATATCAAAGATGCGTGGTACCACACACCAGATCCGGCTCAGATCGGGAAGCACTATATTTCTTACAATATCAAAGATGTGTACCAGTGCTAAACCAGATCCGACCCAGATCTGGCAGCATTATATTGCTTACAATATGTGGTAGACCTACCAGATCCGACCCAGATCGGGCAGCACTATATTTCTTACAATATCAAAGATGTGTGGTACCAGTGCTAAGTACCAGATCCGACAGCATTATATTGCTTACAATATGTGGTAGGCCTACCAGATCCGACCCAAATCGGGTAGCACTACATTTCTTACAACATGTGGTACCAGTGCTAAACCAGATCCGACCCAGATCGGGCAGCACTATATTTCTTACAATATCAAAGATGTGTGGTACCAGTGCTAAGTACCAGATCCGACCCAGATCTGGCAGCATTATATTGCTTACAATATGTGGTAGGCCTACCAGATCCGACCCAAATCGGGTAGCACTACATTTCTTACAACATGTGGTACCAGTGCTAAACCAGATCCGACCCAGATCGGGCAGCACTATATTTCTTACAATATCAAAGATGTGTGGTACCCGTGCTAAGTACCAGATCCGACCCAGATCTGGCAGCATTATATGGCTTACAATATGTGGTAGGCCTACCAGATCCGACTCAAATCGGGTAGCACTATATTTCTTACAATATGTGGTACCAGTGCTAAACCAGATCCGACCCAGATCGGGCAGCACTATATTTCTTACAATATGTGGTACCAGTGCTAGGCTAAACCAGATCCGACCAAGATCGGGAAGCACAATATTTCTTACAATACCAAAGATGTGTGGTACCAGTGCTACACCAGATCTGACCCAGGTCTAGCAGCACTATATTTCTTGCAATATGTGCGGACCCACATGAGCATTGCTAGCTGGGTTGATGCTTGTCTCTTTATATAAAATATTTGATCCACTGGTTAGCCTATCCGCTCCACTAAATAGACTATTAGCCTATGTAATTGTCCTGTCAAAATAGGCCTATCCCTCATTTTTCTTGCGTTGCAGTGTGGTTACTTCATTACTCCATTCTACAGTAGAAATGTAGGGTGTTAAACTTATTCCTATTGGCTTTCATATTGTGTGAATTGTGTATTGAGGGAGGAAGGAGCAGAAAGTTCACAATAGGACTACTTATCTGTCGTCTGCTAGCCTAGTTGGGGCTAGGCCCCGGAGGTAAATGTTTTTTCCCCCTTTTTTTTAAGATAATAGATAAAAATATAATTCTCATTTGTTTGGTTTTTTTCCCCGAAAAATCTAAAAAAATCAGGTATGCTAAGATAAACTTTGTCTTATTTTGAAAAATTTCGTTCCGGAAAATTAGCTGTTGGAATATTTTTATTTTTAATGGGAAATAACTCTGTTTATTTATCTTGCCGCCATTGTAATGTTTTTCTAAAGCAAGTTTCGTTTTATTTTTAAATATTAGTGTTACAAATGCAAAACGTGAAATGTTGAAAGTGAGACATGCTGTATAATATGATCTCGATATGGAAATAGACTGAAATTACATGGATGAAAGTTTAAACTAACAAAATCAAACAGGTAAAACTGTCCTAGCATCGTATATTTTTCTGTCAGTACACATTCTACACATATCTTTTATTTTTATACCATAAAGAACTTTTCCAACCCTCAAACTAATCCTTACAAAGACCTTCACCTGAAGGCAGCTGCATTCTCTCATTCAACAAACAAAATGAAAGATAAGGCCATCCTACCTTGCCCTAAAATGCTAAACATTTCATCCTGATACAAGGCATAACTTGAAAATTTCAAGAGTTATAGCAGACAACACTTATGTGTTGTGGATGATGCAAACAAAATTGTAAAATGTAACTTAACTAGATGATAGGCTACATGATGAAATATTAAATTCCAGTTTTTTGTGTTTCAGACTCACAAGATGTATGAATATGACTTAAAGCCCAGAATAAACCTCTCTCAATTCCTTCCTCCTGATCATGAAGCTAATTTGGTTATGTTAGATCATTGTTATTCCAAACCATGGGGAGCTCATCCAGATGCAAGCGATTCACATCCAATGAAGACTATTTTTATGACCAAATTACCAAGGAAAACAATAGAAAAGCCTGTCGTAAGGTGAGTTTGTTCGATTTAATTGGCAAGATTATTAAATGTTTTTATAATGGGTCATTCCATCTCAAATCACTCAATTTTGGAAATTTTCCCCAGGTGTCTGGGAAAAATCTGAGAGGGTGATCTCGGAACCACTAGGTGATTCGAATTGGAATGACTGTGTGCCATATTTGTCATAATCTTATCCTTGTAGACAACATGAAGATATTGTTGATGTAGAAGAATTAACGTTCACATCACCATTAGTTGACATACCTAAAGCTCGTAATCTGATGAGTGAGTGTGAACGTCACGTCAATTTTGCCAGAAGAGAAGAACGTCCTGATGATTGGGAAGATCACATTTCAAAGTAAGTCTGACAAATACAAGTAACATATGGATTTGTAAACATATCTGAAATGAGCGACTCCAGATAACCCTTGAAAATGCAATAAAAGTGTAGGTCTAATTTTTATATAGTTTCTAATTACCGTACTGTAAACTCTGAAACTCAAAATGTTAACAGAAGCATTGTTCTAAGTAAAAAAGAAAAAAAATTATAATTATGTATGCTTTTAATAAAGGTAATCAGGTCAGTATACTTCAACCTTGTATATGTGATCCTATTCAAAATGATAAACTAAATCCGGATTTTTTTTTACAGAACTGATTGGTCCATGCAACAGAATAGACTATTTACTAAAATAATGAAAGCTTTACAAGCAGATAAACTGGCTAGATTAACTTATGAAGGGGTAAGATATTCCATGATATTATATCTTGGTTTTAATTATCCATTTTACCACTTAATTTTTAGCTGCTTGTTGGTGTGGTTATTGAACTAAATATTTTTAAAAAATTTTGAAAAATACTTGATCTCTATGATTTAAAATATGTAGATGTTTTTGCTTCTTTGGTTTTCAACAGATTTTCATAAAACACTATATAAAGGTTTTTATTTTTATGACCCTCGGTTTAGTGGGTGCACATTGAGTCATCTTAATCTTTAATATGATATTTTAGACAACAAATGAACCAATAATGAGGAGAATACACATTGATAAAACTGCTCGAAGAATAAGACAAGCTCTTGCTAGTTTTGGATGGGTATGTGATGTTTAATTCTAAACAAATTTCAAAGATAAGCTAGTTCAGTCTAATTGAAAGTAGACCACACTTTTGTTCCGTTTTCGTTGCCTCTTTAATGTTGATGTTGCCGGCTTTAACCAATCAGATGAATGTTAATTTTGCCTTTTTGATAATGATTGATGGCTGTTTAGAGAAAATATGAAAGAAAAATCCCCTGCGTCATACCAACAAAAAAAATCTTAGGTGCGGTACATTATAACATTTACAGTACCATTTCAATTTAATCTATATAACTCAAATTGATAATTGATGTAAATGAAGTATGTTTTCTTCGTGTGACCTTGGTCAGTGCTTCTATATCTTCTATAACACCCAACACCAACTGTTATATTTTACAGGATATGAAGCTTTCCCAGTGGTTACATAATTTTCTTGTCCAAAATCTCAGTCTACAATTACTATCAGCTTATTTAGATGTTTTACAGACTCTCAGAGCTAAGGTAGGAAACTTAAACTTCATATTCTTTGTGGCTTTGCTTAATAACTGTGAATGATTCTAGATTCCTTAGCTAACAAATCATACAATTTGAGACAGTTTTAGTCTGGCTTTTTATTTTAGACTCCAGAACTAACAAATTATACAATTTGATATAGCTTTAATTTGGCTTTATATTTGAAATTCCATAATTATCAAGCCATATAAATCGTGATAGCTTTAATTTGGCTTTATATTTGAAATTCCATAATTATCAAATCATTTAAATCGTGATAGCTTTAATCTGGCTTTATATTTGAAATTCCATAATTATCAAATCATATAAATCATAATAGCTTTAATTTGACTTTATATTTGGAATTCTATAATGATCAAATCATATAAATTGTGATAGCCATTTGGCTTTATATTTGAAATTCCATAATTATCAAATCATATAAATCGTGATAGCTTTAATCTGGCTTTATATTTGAAATTCCATAATTGTCAAATCATATAAATCGTGATAACTTTAATTTGGCTTTATATTTGAAATTCCATAATTATCAAATCATATTAATCGTGATAGCTTTAATCTGGCTTTATATTTGAAATTCCATAATTATCAAATCATGTTAATCGTGATAGCTTTAATTTCACTTTGAATTTGAAATTCCATAATTATCAAATCATATAAATCGTGATAGCTTTAATTTGGCTTTTTATTTGAAATTACATAATAACCAAATCTTATTAATCGTGATAGTTTTAATTTAGCTTTATGTTTGAAATTCCATAATTATCAAGTTTATACTCTGGTAATGATTTTTAGATTCCAGAACTTATAGATCGTATGATTAGTGATAGTATTGGTAATTCTATGACTCCAATAGAAGCAGATGGTTTGAATTTATTGTTAAAGAGACCCTGGGATCCTGCTCATTCTGTATGGTCCCATGATAAACTGGTTGGTATTTTATGTTTTATATTCAAAGTCTTGTTAACTTATCTGAAGGGTTATTCCTATCTGACATTCACAGGCAAAACAACTATTCTACAAATATTCACAGGTGCAAAATGCAAATCCACAGAGTTCACACAAGTCAAGGAAAACCTGGTTTGAAGGAAGCTTTTCATATTTTCCTGAACTGGAATATCAGGATAAATCATGAAAATCTGGAAAATTATGAAATTTATGGAATTTTTTTTCTTGTTGTTAACCAGTACCATGCTTTAAAAAATTTCTCAAGGTTAACTTGATATGTAGAAAAAATGAAATGAAATGAAACATTTCCAATATAATCAATCTGATTAGTAATAAACAGATCATATTGTTATACTATATCTTCCATTCATGATAGGTCATTTTCTTTTGATTATTACAGAAAAAACTGCCAGGTAACCCCCTGTTATTATTAGTACCAAATGGTCCAAATAATAACTCTGTTACACAATCCAAGCGGTACAAATTATGGCAGAGTCAGTTAACTAATATTGCTAAGGTGATACAAGTATCAGTACATACTTCATCTGGTCACCACAATACAACAGTTACACAATGTCTAGAAAATATGATCCATGCTGTTCGCACTAAAATACAAGAGGTATGTTTCTCCAACATAGTTAGATCATTAGCTAATCTTTGATATACCAAATGATCAAATATTTTATTAACTCCATTACTAACCTCACAATGTTACACTATATTCTTTGCAAGTATCACCCTGTATCAGCTAAATTTTGATGAAATTCAAAAGGAACTGTGATTGGTATGTTGGGTGCTAACTAGCCAATTTAGATATCCTTGGCATAAGTTGAGATCATAATAGATTAACCCAATCAGTGATGCAGACAGAACAGTGTAACATTGAAAACAAGTAGTTGAAAAACTAGTCCAGGTTGCTACAGACTGGCTGTTAAATATTTACATTGGTGAATCATCATTTTATTTACTTTCTTCTTTTAAATATATTTTAGTTAAAAAATCATTTTCCCAGTAAACCTATAGTGTTAATGGGGTGGAATGCTGGAGCTTCTATAGCCTGTCAGGTTAGTAATAGCAACATTTTTATACTCCCTAATGAAATGGGGCTTTAAATAATAAAAATAATGTCAAAATAAACAATTAATTCCTCAAACATTTCATTTGTCTAAAAACCAACACAATTAAAAAAGTAAATTTAATATTATTGATTGAAAATCAGAAAAATTGAATAGTATTTTATATTATTATAAGTTATAGTTATTGCCCTTGTTCGTGAAACTGTTTTGATTTTTAGCTTGCTGCTTGTATATACTCTAGAAGACACTTCGTGATTAGTGACGGCATCAAACACTTAGTTTTAGTGGATTTGCAGGAAACAAAGACATTTGACTGAAAATTGGAATGTTAGAAATTGATGCTGTGTCCCCAATACACAAACAAAAATTAGACAATCTCTTTACTATCAATTTAATGCTATACTCATGTTTAACTGTACTCTTGAATTGAATGATGATGTTTAAAGATCATATCTTCCTCACAATTTGATTCAAAGGATGAAATAAAAAATTTGTTTTCAATACAGGTATCTATGATAGAACACGTTAGTGCTGTAGTCTGTTTAGGATTCCCTTTTACTAGTACAAGTGGTTCCAGAGGTGTAAGTAATAAAATTTTTATTAGATGGCGGTCAGAATTATGTCAAATACACCAAATTGACATGGTCCAGGATTTTCTTATTGGATTGAAACATTTGATTAGGGTAGCAATCTATAGCACCAAACTTCAGATTTTGGCTTATAATGTTGAATTTTTATTTGCACCTCATAGCAATTTGGCAGAAATTCAAAATGTTCCAGTTGTAGACCTCAGATCGACTTGATTGCAGATTGTTGTAATAAATTTTTTTATTTGCTAATCATAAGCACTTATTATTTTATCCTTAATCCCATCTCTAACAATGTCAGGGTATTACAAACTCAAAGTTTGAACAAGTTCAATGTTCATAAATTCACTGCTACGAAAACTCATTGATTACTTCAGCCATTGGTATACCTTACCATTTATTCAAATATATACATAATGTCACTGAGATTTAGAGATTATCTTGTGTTATTCTTATAGGATGTAGATGATTCCTTATTAGACTGTAAAGTTCCAGTATATTTTGTTGTGGGTCAGAATGCTAACACTAATGAACTGGATAATCTAGAACATCTGAGAGATAGAATGAAGACAGAGACAGGATTACTGGTTGTCGGAGGCTCAGATGATCAATTAAGAATGTCCAGAGCTAAGAAGAAAATTGAAGAAGTAACTCAAGCATTAGTTGACAGAAGAATTATGGTAAGCCGGAATATCAACAAGTTTCATTTTGTGTTCTTGATAAGGGATACACCACATGCAATCCATGATCTGAGGAAATTGTTTAATGCAAAGATTCCTAAGTCACTGTTATTCAACCAATCAAATGTTCTAATCTTTAAAAAAAATGTCAAATCTATGTGAATAATTCAAGTTTAAAAGATAGAATTACATGCCTACCCACAAGTGATTTTGGTAAGAAAGCATAGATAATGATTTCATTGGTCAAAATTCGGCGAAGCATGATTAAAGAATATCTTCAGAATATTGATGACAAGGGAAGTAACTTGTAGAATCCCAAAATATTCAGATTTACTATTTTTAGGAAGGAATGATTTATATGATGATTGTGTTATTCATAATGTCTGCCTATAGTCTAATTAAATTAGGTTACAATTTTGTTTTTTTGGGGGTTTTATTTTCAGATATTTATATTCCTTTTTAATCTAACGAGACTTCTACCGTGGTCCCGTTCTTATGACAATTTAATTTAAGTTGATAAACTTGAAAAAAAGTGAAAAAGTGTGAAAATTTGAGAATAGTTTGTTACTGGTTGAGATATTTGCTTATATCAGCTATAATCAGTGCTCTGTCTTGTATAATAGGGATTTGTCTTCAATACATTGCTGCCTTGTATAATACAGTGCTGTCTTGTAATACAGTGCTAGCTTGTATAATACAGTGCTAGGTTGTATAATGCATTTCTTTCTTGTATTATACAGTCCTGTCTTGTAAAATACAGTGCTGTCTTCCTACTATTTATTTCTTCATTTTAGGCTCATATGTGTGAGTTTCTGGGTAATATTTTAACTAAGTCATCAATATTGATAGAACCTATAGAGATACCAGAAATAGAACAATCTAAACGTAAATATAACAGAAGACGTAAAACAATGGATGATTTACCAAGTCCTATTGGATATATTAATGAGGTAAATTGATACACACTCTAAATCATGCTGACTCTAATCTGACAGTTAAACTCTCTTTTTCGATGGAAGATGTCCAGATGAGAGAAAAAGAATAGGTATTGAAAGACAATATGACATAGATATTGTGGAATGTTTGAAACTGCAACCTTTTCCATCTTCAATTTTTTTTGCAAAATTGAGAACTCTCCTTGGGACATGTGTGCCATTATGAGGGGTTGATTTTAGTCTTGAATTTATATAAATAGTCTTCAGAAGTACTAGAAATGTACAGTTTTTTTTTTGTAAACAATATTTTATTCATAAGAGAAAAGGATTAAGGAACAGGCTTTTGCCTATATGACCCCTTTCCTAGTATGTAAAATACTCACATAATACATTTAAAAATACTTCAAAGTAGGAATTTTACTCACTATTTCTATATATGTCTTCTATATATCACAGAGTATCTTAAATTGACAAAATTCAAGATAATTCTGGACACACATGGATTTAAAGACTCAAATTTCCACAGTGAGATGTGAACACTATTACTGATTAGCTCTTGTTTCTGAGACTAAAGTGTGATTGGTCAAAAGAATGGCCTACCAGGCCACAGTCTTAATATTGAGATAGCTTATCTGAACCAAGTTTTTGACCTTGATACAAGAACATCCTGAGAACAAACTAAAGACTTACTAAACCTTTTCTTTATTTCAGGCTGGTCAATTCATTGGAAGGACAACAATCCAAAAAGGTAAAATAGGCAATTTAACATATACCACTAATACTGAGTCCTTATCTAATATCAAATCACAACCTACATTTACCAGCTATAAATTACAGAGTAAGATAGTCATTATAGGTTCAGTTTCACTTGATTGTTTCATATTTTATTTTAAAGCTAACCTGAATTTAAAAAAAATTGCCCTCAGGAGAATTTTTTTGTAATTTTTAAAATTTCATGTAGATATTTGACTAAAATTTTAAGTTATAGTTTAATAACTTATTATCTAATGCTAGCTGTCAGTCAAATGTCACATGATTGAGAAAATCTAAATGAAATTAATTTTCACTTAATATAAAATTTATCCAAAGCTGATTGGATGAGGTGTTTGTTGACAGAACTAGAAAGAGAGAAATATATGATTAATGAGAGTCATTCTTTAAAACTTCACCACATAATATTTAAGATAGAGACAAGCACCAGAGAAGTTTTAAAATAAAAGAAAAAACAGACCCTTTTTTATGGTCATTTGAAATCAATGGAATATAAAGTGGTTGTGATACTGAATTGGGACATGTTCATCATTTTTGGGGGGTTGAGTCTTGAATATCTGTAAATACTCATTAGAAGTCAGAAATGTAGGAAAATCGCATATTTCCTTCAAAAATATCTCAATCTAGGAATTTCACTTTCTATTTTTACAGATGTCTTTTCTATATATCAGTGTCTCAAGAAAAGGGACATTCCACTTTTTTGTAAAAAGTTTTCATTATCAAAAATGTCTAAAATTATATCTGAAAATATTTCTATGTATCTTCTTCAAACTGAATATGTTTTAAAAGGGTTATTTAAAAACTGAGAGTACTAATTGTTTATTAAGCAGTTTGGCCTAGTTTATGTGTTGCGTTTTATAATGGCTCGGTATTGTAAGTTGAAATATATAAGTAGACATATTTCTCTACAATTAGACGTTTATTATAATTAAATCTGTAAAGTAGTTTCCAAAAAGCATAAGGAACTTGAAAAAATTTACATAGTCTTATGTAATGTTTTTAAATAGTTTTGGTGTTAAAAATTAACTCTGAATTTTTATAGTTAATACTTTCAGATATACTGGTATTTCTCTAGATTTTGGTGTATAGTTTTCACAAATTTGATCAATTTTTTTTTTGACCTATAAAAAAGTGGAATATCCCTTTATCTTCCAAAGACAGATAATTATGGATACACATGGATTTGAAGGCTTAAATTTCGACGATGAGCTGTGAACACTATTACTGATTAGCTTAACTAAAAAAAGTCCTATTTCTGAGACTTTTTTCAATTCACATTAGCTTTGATATTTTGTCTTCATTTATTTTTTATGTCATTTTTTGAATTTCAAATTTTTTCTTTGAATTGGTTTGTTATTGTTCAAAATTTTGTATTTTACTGTTAAATCAGGATTTTTGGTTGGGGTTCAATATTTGTGAATTGTAATGTTGACCAATTCACAAATTCTTTCTTTCATTAACTACCCAAAAAATTTGTAAAGATTTCACTGTTAACTTGTGGTTTGTTGTAATAAAGTGTTTTGTATGTAATTATGGTCGCCTGTTCACAGTTTTAAATATTTTTGAGGAAACTTAGTCTACGTAGATGAAATTTGAATTCAAGCTTTCTTTTTCCAAGTTAGGTTTTTGTCATCAATAAAACAGCGATAGTTTTCATACTTGAAAGAAACGTATATAATCTATTCCTGATGGATTTCAAGTAAATACTTGTTTCTCAGTCACACGTGAAGTTTTTAAGTTTTGATATGTTTTTGTACAGGTTTCCTAAATTTTGTATGTTACTAATCGCAAAATTTGCTTTTTCACTTTAGGTCTTTAGTTTTAGTGGAATTGCGGGAACCACAGACTTCTGATTGAAAATTGGAATGGTGCAAATTGATGCCATCATATAAAATTTTACAAATCCTCTCTACATTTCCATTTAAGTAGGATTAGGTTAAATTTGATAATTTATAATCAAATATTCAACATTTCTTTTCAATGAATTATAAACTTTTCTTTAAGTATAAAGTCTGAAATATGCACATTTGATGTTTCAGATATATTTGTTTTAAATTATAGATCAAAGACCATCTCCTGCCAAGAAAAGACCATCTACTTCTCAAATGACAAATATACCTAAGAAAAGAATGACATTATCAGCAAGATTGGCTTCAGTTAATAGTCCAATACCATCAATGACTTCAACTCAAGTTATTCAAGGAGCCAAGGAACTATCTGGTTTACTACGACCTAAGTCAGTAGATGATGGTGAAATTAAAGTTGGTAAACCTGGAAATTACATATCTAGATCAATACCTCCACACCTGCCCATATCTGGTTCTCAATCCATTTCAAAGATCCTATCAGCAACAGCTTTAAAAGTCAGCGAATCCAATGGTTCAGGGGCAAATCTAGCCCATGGATCAACTCTTCTTGCGTCTGCTATCAAAAGTCATAATTTTCAAGAAGAGCAGAAACAGACCAATATTCAGACGGTGACTTTGAAACCAAGTAGTGTTGGACATCATCAAATTCTGGTTAGAACAGGAAACAATTCTTCACCAATCAGCATACCATTGTCAGTTGCCCAGAAACTGGTATCTGGAACACCACGAAACATATCTACTGGAAGTTCACCTAGTACCAGTCAAATTCACCAGTTACTCAATAAACTTAGCAGATCAGGAGCACCATCAAATATAATCCAGTCATCACAAGCATCAGCAACATCATCTACTAGTGTTTCTGGTATGTCTTCTGTATCCACATCAACTGTAGACGAAATTTCTTCAGACTCAACATCTGGAGGTGAGTGAAATTAGGAACTTTTCTTTCTATATATTTCTCCTTATCAGTATAGAGTGAAGAAGTTTATGAAATTTCTTATGTAAAGCACTGGCCAAGGTCAGTGTAATAATATGCATTTGCTGTAATTTTTGGATTTCATTCACAGGATTAGGAAAATGTAACATGTAAGGAAAAGGTGCATATAGATTTGATTCACAGGTTTTTCATATGTGACTTTTGGCTCTATGTATTCGAGTAGCATTTGCAGTGCAATATGACTATAATTACTGATATTTAAGGTTGCTTTTAGAGTGGCTATATAACTAATAGTATTGATCTGTTCTTTTTTTTCAGGACGTTACATGATCACCCCATCTTCATCATCATCAGGAAGTCTGCCATCAAATCAACCTGTTCAGAAAGTACAATTTCATGATTTTCCTTCTAAATCTATATATAGCAGACAGGTAACAAGTGGAACATCATCTCAATCTAAATTCATCTCTAACAAGATTGATATTGGTAAAATTTCGATGTCAGATATTTCTAGATTGACCACACCACCTCCGAATCGTAGCTTGATCAACAAGAGTCCTATACCAAAAATAACAGTAAGTCCACGTATCGTGAACCAATCTCCTTCTTCAAGTGTTAACTCAGTGCGTGTGGCATCTCCAACAATCTCTAATAAATCCGGTGGAACTGTCATCATGACTGTTAAAACCGGTTCTGGAAGGGTAGTTGACTCGGTAAATATTCCTATGAAATCAAATGAACTTTCTCGTTTAACGGTTTCACAGGAAGTGATTGATTTAGATCCACAGTCACCACCAGCTAAAGAAGAATATCAAGTAACATCTGCTAAAGATGTAGCTGGAGACACTAAAATGCCAGACTTGGAAAATATTGACACAATGTCTACAAGTGGTTCACAAACTCTCCCTGAGAAATCTGCTGCTGAGCAATCATCAGATTTAATGGAGCAGATTAAAGCACGCAGATCTGGACGTGTGTCAAAATAATTTTGGTTATACACTTGCTAGTAAAATTATGGTTATACTAATATCTGGTGATTTTTTCATACTGCTTCAAAGGTGAAAAACTAATTTAAGGTGGAGCAGCCACAGTTTCTTGAAATTTCTTGGTAACCTCTCTTACAAGTGCACTGTTACAACTTGGAAATTAAACAAGTAATCACTGTTAAAACTACAATACACATGAGTGAGATTCTGAAGTATTTGAAATCTCTTTTGCAAGAATGCCACCAGAAAATGATATGAAAGTTGCAGACTAATCTGTTATTTCATATTAATGGTAATTCTTGATCAATTTAATGTTGAAATATAGTGCTAATAGGTGTATATATTGTATATTGTCAAAAAACTTCATATTTTAGTCATAACAGACTTGCTTTCTATCACTCTATGTGTACATATTGTTGCATCTGTGGCTCTACTTGATTTATATATATATATATAGAATCATAAAATGTTTCAAATCACTATGATTAGGTTTCTGTTTTAAAAATGATCCTGGTATCCAAATAGATTGTACTTTGAACATCATACATGCCTTATGTCAGTGCTTCTCAACAGCGGAGGGAATATTGCAAAGGGGGGAAATAGGAAGAAATCTCCCAGATCGGGGAGAAAATGGGAGGCAAGGTGATCCACGACTGCAATTGATTCACCCTGAACATACAGAAATGAACAGTCAGCCCAAGGGTTGATATGTGGAGTTTCATTTTTATACGCCCTTATGAATGGGGGGGCGTATATTGCCGTTACCCATGTCCAAAATCAATTGAAAACTGTAGTCTCTATTGTGTTCACAAACAAATTTTGATGCGTTTTTCCTAAGTCAAGGGCAATAACTCAAAAACCGTTCATCGAAAGATCGTCAAATTCGAACTTGACCAAGATCTCATCAATCTGAATGATCACACCAAATTTCATTAAAATCAGGCAAAAACTGTAGTCTCTATTGTGTTCACAAGAAATGTTGACGGACAAGGGTGACCGCAATATACGTCCACATTTCCATGTAGTATACCATAGGGTTCATCCTTATAAATGTATACTAAATGTGTTCTACATACAAGTAGACGTAGTAGTAGTTTGTTTCTTCCCCTGATGAAGTCAAAACTTTTTTGATGAAACATTGGGTATTAAAGGATGGTATTTGATGTCAAGTTTTATTATTTATTACACATTTCCATGTGGGCGTATAAAAAGCACACTTGATGAATGATTTAGATTTTAATGTTACAATTTAATTGTATGCAGTTCAGTTTATGGTTTCATTAAAGCATTGAACCATAAACTCACTTCAGTTACAGTGATATATTAGAAAATATCCAAAATTGAAATTGTTGAAATCAGTCAAGATAAGTTTGGCACTTTGCATAATTTGGTTTAGTTTAAAGACAGATCATCAATAATACATGTAGTTTTACTTAAAAAACAAAGCAAATCTATTTATACACAAGTATGTAAGACAGTGGTAGATTTTAGATCATTATAAACATTATTCTCTATTAACTTCTATGACTTCTACTTTGCCATTATTATTTATTGATTATATTTAATTGTAGACAAACCTCAATCAGAAAAAAGAGATAACAATAGCTATAACAATACATTACTTCCAAAATTGATAACTTAATTAATTTACTATAATAAAATAGTTTATTAGCAACTAGAAATGATTGTTGTGGACATATATGTCATTGACAAAACTTTTATACACATAAAGACCTTTACAATCAGTTATTGACATGATATTCCATGAAGGTTCTTAAATTCTTGGTAGAATGTAGTTAGCTGCTAAAGCTACTATTGGTGCTCCAGTTGGTACACCAGGGAAAGGTCCAGATGAACCAGCTATGTCCATATGAGAATAGGGTAATGGTTTCTCTGAATCAATACCATGCTGAAAAAAAATCACAAAGATTTATTTGACATTTCATGAGCAATATTTATCAAATAATGAACATAAATTTTCTAGGTATTTAAATCTGAATAAGAAACTAAGGTACTTGGTAGATAGGATTTTTGAGAGAGGAAGTTGTCATCCTTGACATCGATGTCCCTTTCCATTTAGATGTTACAAAAGATCATCTACTATTTGGATAATAATGAAGTTTAAATTATGGGTATACCATCATATCAATTCCTCACAAGCTTGAAACTCAGTCAGTAGGTATCATTGCCCTTTGCCAGGATATGAGGTACTGTGGGTTCAAGTCTCTCTCATGGAAGACAAGTTCTGATGCTGTGGCTAATTTCAAATTGGCTAACCAATCTTTATCTAATTTTTACCAACCTTATCCAAGCCGGCAGCTCTGATCATAAAAGCAGCAGGAAATTGGTGACCTCGTGGTGTAGCACTTGATGGTGCATTGTTACATTGTAAGATATCTTCATATTCTGATGGTCCCACAACAAAATCATAATCCTATACACAATAAAATGCATTATCACACAACAGTTTTGTTCTCTGGTACATAGCACAGGTTCATAAATTAAAGGTAAAGAGCATAAAATCATAAGTTTGGTTAAAAGTTTCAATTTAGTAATCACATGATGACTTAACCAGTGTATTGCAAATTGAAGCATAGGTGGTAGCATAGTCTATATTACAACTTGTCCAACTTTCTTTCAAATTATCCACTGTGGTATATTCACACTACTGTAAAATATGTGGCAGATGTGTTTATTAGTCAAACACCCTAAGCAAATGGCTATGCTTTACATCAAATTTTCTGTCAGATCATTGCAACATGTGTGGAAAACAACAAAATCAATGATTAGTTGATAAAAGAGATGTACAATATTACCTCTCTTCTAACAGTAGAAACCTCAAAAGGATCTCCATATTCTTCACCAGCAGATTGAACTTTTTGAGCTGTTTGTAATTTTCTGGCTGGTCCATTATCCATGATGATCTACAAACAAATCATAAATGAATAAAGAGTGTACTGTTCCATGATATCATCATTTGTTTAATATTAAAAAGATAATCTTATTCACAAATGACAAAAATTTCTAATTTGCTTTATTGCATCTTTTCTATCTCTATCTGATGACGAGCATAATCCTTTTAAAAATAACTCAACTTAGTTAGAATTAGAGTTGTCAGTTGTATGAAGATCACATAGTGTAAAACTGAATAACAACATGTCTTTAGATTTCTGTAATATTTCTATGCCTTTTTCTATAGATGTCTTTTTATATATATATGGCTGTGTCTCAAGAAAAGATCAGTTGTCATTTTAACTTTCCCATTTAAGAGTCTACCGTACAATTGGTCAAACAGTTGGTGAAACTGCCCCTTTAATGATGATTTAATGGTACTAAACAATATTAGTAAATACTTACAGAGTAATTGAAGCCCATAGCTCTAATAGCATGTCCTGTTAATGTAGCTATAGTAAATATTTCTGGATTAACTGCCTGCAAAGCCTTTAATAAGACAACAACAAGATTTGGAATTATGATAGTTGAAATTATTAAAACTGGAAATTCACATATATATTTTGCAAAAGAGCTTCTATCGCACTCTGAATAGTCATGCTCGAAATTCTCAGAACAAGAGACAACAATCTGAACAACAAAACTTTTAAAATGTGTTTTGGTTAAAAAGGATTGAAAAGAGGTTTTTCAAAATTGATTTGAACCATTCAAATTTAAATTAGACATCTGTGGTTCTTGTTACACCAATAAAACTACTCCTTTTATGATGTCACTGTTGCGAAGGTCCTTATATGTCAATAGCAACATTTGCGATGCTACAAATGTCTGACTGAATATTGGTGCAAATGTAAAAATGTAAAAAACCTCTTTACAATCCTTTTAAATACAGATATACTTCATTCAAAAAAAAAGCTTTGATTACCAATTCTTTGCATCTGCACAAAACATCAGCCATAACCATTCTACCTTCAGCATCAGTATTACCTACTCTTACACGAACACCAGCTCTAGATGTTATTATTTCATCAGCTACATATGATTCTACAAAATAAATTAAATTCATACTCGTAGGACATTTTTATCACACAACAGTTCTGATATCTGGTAGACAACACAGGTTCATAAAAATGACATGAACTCGTAGTATAGGTTCAGGACTATGCATGTAAACAGAACAACATATTATTTAAAGTTGAGGACTCAGTTAGAAATTGAAGGAACATGAAATTGTTCCAAATGAAGTAATTTTGATTAAAAATTTAGTAATCACATGAACATTTTTGCCGAGATCTTTTTTTGTTACGTGCATGGACATTAAGTAGAAAGGTGTTAAAAAGGCTGACATCAAAATCAAGGCCCTATATAGAAAACATGCAAAGAATTTAAGGAAAAAATGTGTTTATTGATAGTTGTGAATCTGAGCACCCTGGGCTCCCGGCACTAGTCATGGTAGGAAGTTTGGGGAGTCTCCTCGGGAAAATTATTTGGCAAAATTCTCTTCAATAGCTATTCTATTACTTCATAAGTCATTTAGTCCGACTAGTAAACATTTGATGAATCAAGATGTTCACATATTTGCAGACTTATTAATTATGTGCACTGTTAGAAAAGACAAACCTAGTCACAGAGTGCCATCAAGTGTTCCTGTATATTGATTGCATATTGATTACACCTGCAATTATTTTCATGCTCAAAGTAAATAGAGTTACCTACCTTCTCCAACACTATTTCTAACCATTGCCATGGCACCAACAGCTCGAATACCTTTAGGCTTCAATTGTCCAAGTAACTAAATCAAATAAATCATGGAAATTTAATTGGTTTGATTAAAGAACACTACCATGGATGGTGTTAGGGTGTATTGAGACGAGTCTCAATGAAAGCACTGGCCTAGATCATAGAGCAATAGATAAGTCTATTAATTATGTGAAAATTAGTTAGTCATTAGTATGATTTTAGTTGAAAAGACACACACACAAACATACACTGCATGTTATATAATATACTGTATATAGCCATGGTACCAGTCCTGAAATAAGTATTGCCTGAAATCTAACTTAGAAATCGATTAATTTATTGATATAACATGATACATTTATATGAAGAAATATCTACTTTTATGCTAAATGGGCATTGTTCAATGGTTCAAGTCTACCGTGAAAGAGAAAATTGCGAAGATTTTGATTTCTTTTGTAAGCTACAACCAACCATTTTGTGTATACCTGGGGAAATTTGTTCTGAAGTTTGGTTTGTTACATCAAAGGTCTAATATTTGAACAGAAAGAGACAGAATACAAACCATAAAGAATCCTGCTACAGCTGCAGCACCACATTTATCTCTATGCATACCAGCCATAATACCACCAGCCTTTATATCAGCTCCACCAGTATCATATGTTATACCCTACATGAAAGTGATGTTATAATCATTTAATCTTTACTAAATGATAGAGTTTCTATTCAGCCTTCTGTATGACCTTGCAAGCTAGTATAAATGTACTCAAAGCAGGAGAATGCCTTGATTCACTTGATTCACCTATATAGTCTAAAAGATCAAACTTAATGTAATGGTGAAAAAGACTGTTTTGAAAAAGTCAATAACAAATAACAAATTCTTCTATTCCAATACCAGTATTTATTATTTTGCATATATCAGCACAGTAGTTTTCTAACACCTCTCAAAAAGGATAACATATGTTAAAAGTTTACTTAAGTCTTTAAAATAGTTTTGGCGTTAAAAACTTAACGGCAGAACCTACGAAAAAACTTGAATGTCCCTTTAAGATGTACAATTTTACACATAAAAATATTTTGTGGTAGAATGTCATTATTACCAGATTGTCATTAAAGGGACAGATATGTCATTTTGGGGGTTGATTTGAGTCTTGATATTGTGTAAAGTCTTCAGAAGTACGACAAATGTACCAAAATAGCATAATTCCTTCAAATATATCTCAAACTAGGAATATTACTCACTATTTCTATATATATCTTTTCTAAATTTCACAGAGTATCTTAAAAAGACGAGTCGTCATTTTTACATTCAAACGCAGATAATTCTAGACACACATTGATTTGAAGGCTCAACTTTTGAAGGTGAGCTGTGAACACTATTACTGATTGGCTTAGCTAAAATATTCCTATTTCTGAGACAGTATGATTGGTAACAAAAATGGCACATCTGTCACTTTAACACCAAATTATCAATATAATGACATCACCAGTCATAACTGGTCTTAAGCTGATGTTGAATTTTAATTCTGGACAGTTTTAAGTATAGCAGAATTATAACTATTTGGACAACTATATCTCTTCTCAATTTTCTCAGTCATCAAGATTTAGAGCATCAATAAAATAAATCAGAACATAAATGAATACTTACTTTTCCAACAAAGAATAATGTTTTTTCTATTGGACCTTCACCATTATATTCTAAAAATATCACTCTTCCACGATGTCTTTCAACAGCTAAAAAATACACATAAAGATAGAAATAAATTGATCTATAGGAACCTATAAATTCAATGATGATCAGTGAGATAAGAATAATCCAAGAAATCCTTCATGAGGAATTATAATTATATTTATAGGATCCACATAGTGTAACACATAATATAAAACTCATAATTCTTTAAACAAACGGTTTGAACTTGTCTAGAAATGTAGAGTTATAATAAGTTATTCTTGTTCAATTTCAGCAGGGACTCAGGTTGAAATAGGTCAGTTGCCTGAAGATCGAATAGAGTGAAACTATTGAGTAACAACATTGTTTTTTTAGGTTTTAATATTTTTTAACACATAAATCATATTCATTGATCTGTAACCTAGTTAACCTACTGTCAACTGATGCTGAATTATTATCAAATTTCAATACTGGACAATACATGTGTATGTATAACTATTTCTGTAGTATTATCTATATGGCATACACAAAAGTTGCAACTTAAAGGGATGGTTTAAAGAGTTTTCTAAATTTCATATGTTTAGAATCGTTTTGCACCATTTCAATTTTCAATCAGAGTGGTTCCTACAAATTCCACAAAAAAATGATATTTTGATGACATCACTATTTGCAAGGGCCTTATGTGATAAAGCATCTTTTGCAATTAGTGACATCATTGAACACTTATTTTTTGAGTAATTGCAAGAACCACAGACGACTGATTGAAAATTGGAATGGTGCAAATTGATGATATCAGTGTCCCCGATACACAAAAAACTTTAGAAAACCTCTTTACAATCTCTTAAAGTTTTTGAATTTTAAAGGATTTCTCTGGATTCTCATGCTTAATTTTGACTAAAATCTATATTTCCTCAGCACCTAGCAATAGAAAGATAGTAAGCACAAAGTATCTAGTAAAATATATTACTTACTATTAGCAGCTCTATTGACAGCAGCTAATAATGGATATTCTTTTTCTAAAATGTTCACATCAGATATTACATCAATCTAAAAAAATATAACGTGAACTTAAGATGTGCTTAATTCAATGACCTATATCAGCCTACAACCATACTGAAGTTTGACAAATATGTCATGTCTACAATTCAAGTTTGTCAGTGGGGACATAGGCTGAAATAGACCTTTATTCAGACAGAAAGAACTAAGGATGAAAACATAGGTTCATAATTAAGGATCCTTTCTGCCAGCTGGTCCTTGGCCAAACCTCTTTGATCTTTCCTGGCAGCGTTTTCTCCAAACGATCTTAGCGCTAGGATGTCCTAGAATCAATGTTAGATGATAAGAACCTAGGACATCCTAGCACTAAGATCGTTTCGAGAATACTTGGCCTGGATTATCTGTATGGATTTACAGCTGGGTCGAATGGAACCAAGAGTGAAGATGACTTATTCAAGGTCAGGGGACTTTCACACACCGAACGAGATTAGAACCCACCAACACCATTGGCTCGACGTAACCAAGCAAATGACCAACCGAATGTGCTATAGAACCTTACACCACCATCATCATCATCATTCCCTGTTGAGAAGTTAAACAAAAAATTAGGCCTATGACACAAATATTAAATGATAAACAAACACAGGTGATGCTTGTTTCCCCTTATGATAAATAACAGAAATAACTCACTGTGATGTTAGTACCATTTAATTGTTGTCCGAGATATTCTTCTACTCTAATAGCTGCCATTCTTTCTGGATCTGATCCACCAATATCTCTACATACTGATCTATAATTAAACACATCATCTTGTTTATTGATCTACAGTAAACTGTTTTCATTGACTTGCGAACTGGCAAATTCAGTCATTCCCATTGAACACTTCAAATAAAATCTTATTTGGTCAGACATTTGAACAGTTACTACTTCAAAGTAGTTATCCCATGATCTGATATTTTGAAATAATATTCTTATAATTGGCATTGCAAAGATATTTTTCAAAAAGATGTTATTTTGACTTGAAGTTAGAACAACACTTTTTTCTTCATATTTTTGAGTGATATACTGGTATTTGTAGGGAAGTACATAATAATTGATGATTTTCAGTGAAATTCATAATATGCTATTTTTAAGCTCTAATTCAATTCTGGTGAAGAGTAAGTCAGATGCTAAATCATGATCAGTCAGTTTATTTTGTTAAATTTGAACATTTCTCTTAAAGGGATTGTAAAGAGGTTTTCTAAATTTTGTATGCGTATTGAAACACTGATAGCATCCATTTGCACCATTCCAATTTTCAATCAGACGTATGTGATTCCTGCAATTCCACTAAAACTAAATGTTTTATCACATAAGAATTTTGTTGGGGTGACGTCATAAACAGTTTTTTGTTTATTCAGATTGTAAATACATGGACATTTATGATTAGTTAAAACTTAAATTATATGCAATAAGAACATAATGATATAATTAAGAATACATGATAATTCATTAGAAACACCAATTAATCAAATAGTTTGCTTAATTTGACACTAAAAAATAAGGAAACCCATCTACAAGTTTTCATATGAATAGAATAGTAGAAATTTCCTTTATCCCAAAAACATTCTTTTTTCATTGTTATTTTGGATCTGATATTTTCATTCATATACGCAAGAAAGGTCACAAAAATTAAAATGGTCGCACAGTAGATCTTTACCTTGCTAATTCCAAAGTAGAACCAATGGCAATTCCTTTTTCAAGTCTAGTTTGATCATCACACCAAACACCCAGTGTATCAACTTTCTTACTCTTAGCTGGATTGGCCTCTCTTACTTCTAGAGGCTGAAACATACAAATATTTCTTCAAGATTTCCTGATTCTATTATGAAATGATTATACCTTGACAAATTGTCCTATATCATTCTAAGTCAATAAGTCCAAAAAGGTGCAGAAAAATAAAATTCAACACTTCATCATTAAAGAGACAAGTATATATATATATTTATACGTAAATAGTCTTCAGTATCGGTACTGTACAAAAACCGCATAATTCCTTCAAAAATATCTCAAACTAGAAATTTCTGTTATATATGGCAGTGTCTCAAGAAAAGATAACTTGTCTTTTTAACTTTCAAAGGCAGATAATTCTGAACACACGAATTAGTGGTAAAATCTTGACCTCAAGATTGGTCAAAATCCAGACTTTGACTTTAATGTTCCTCCTTGCTGAGGCACCACATTATTTTCATATGCCAAGTACAAAATTGGTGTCTCAAAAAATTTTGTAAAGGATCATTTAGTAATTCAAACATACCACATATAAAGCATGAAGGGCACCAAGTAAAGAAACTAGACCAGCTTTAGGAAAACTATCATCAACAGGTCGAACTAATAGAGGTGCTTTACTTCCTGCTTGTACAGCTCTCTTGATACCAGCAATAGCTGCATCAGCAAACCTTCTAACATCATCATAATCTCTATTCAACAGTCCAGTAGGAGAAAATATCTAAAAAAGAAAACAAACCAAAATGAGTTATATACCTACTTTTCTATTCCTTACAGAAACGAAACCATGCAATGTGCAATGAGGGAAACTTTCAGTAAAATTAGTAATGTGAACAGCACCTCTCATTAGATATGTGACTTAAGCTCAAAGATATTTTCTATAAAAGCTTAAAAGCATGACATTCCATCATTATAAGGCCACAGTTCACCATATTGGGAGGTTGATTTTGGTAATAAAAATTGGTTCAAAAAAATGAACAAGTACAACATTAGTGGTGTTCATACAAAAAATAGGACCAACTGTAAAAAAATAGGGCAAGTTATGTCACATTCATTATTCAGAACATGGAAGATGGAAGATATCATCATGTGTGTTTCTAAGAATAATGTTGTGTTCATCTGCTGATATGTGATCAATGCCTATGGAATGATAAAAACTTACAAGTCTTCTTCCAGGAACAACATCTGTATCCAAAAATACCAACTTCTTACAACAACTTTGATCAATCTATAATAGGATTATAAAAATCACGAAATAGTTCTAAAACACTTTAGAAAAACACAGAATATGGTTGTCTTGAAATGACATGATTGAAAATTGTAAAGTTGCATCAGATTCACTTGAACATGTCCTACATCTTAAAGGGACAGATGTGTCATTTTTAAGAGTTGATTTGAGTCTTGAATATATATAAATAGTCTACAGAAGTACTAGACATGCACAGAAATTGCATAATTCCTTTAAAAATACTTCAAATTAGGAATTTCTATGTCTTTTCTATATATCACAGAGTATCTTAAAATGACGAGTCGTCATTTTAACATTCAAATGCAGATAATTCTAGACACACATTGATTTGAAGACTCAAATTTCGACAGTGAGCTGTGGACACTATTACTGATTGGCTTTGCTAAAAAATTCCCTTTTCTGAGACTAAAGTATGATTGGTCAAAAAATTGAAGCACCTGTCACTTTAAAGATAGCTTGTTTGGTAAGTCTAGATACACCCAATGATAACCTTGGTCAAATTTGGTCGTTTGGAAGGAAATATCAAAAGTCACTGTGGCTCTTTGAGCGTTTACAATGTATATATTGTGTCCTTTTGGTAAAAATATCAAATTTCATACTTTTTTTAATTATCATTTATGGAATCCAATGTATTTCCAAAGTTAGTATCCTCAATTTCTGACATTGCTCTCTCTGAAGCAGACCTCTTTAACCTGGAGGCATGGTAATTAAATCCAAATTACTGATTCATATTTCCCAAAAGATATTACCTCTGAATACTTGCGAAGAGGTGCCTGAAGACATTCTAGATTTCCAGTCAGTTTTTCTATAGCATCTGTTACCACGACAACAGAATCATACTTGGATTCCTTCACATCTAAACTTCCAATAATTTTACTCAGACTGAAAAGATATTACATGTTAAAAATTTTGTTACAAAATTCTTCAATTTACACCAATCCATGCAACCTGAAATAGACTATATATTATAATGCACGCATCAAGGTAGTGATGAGCATATATGATCTAGATTTTGTAATTGATTTCTGTATTCGCTATAAAGTATTCTGTACCTATCAAGAAAACAATGCAAGGTGCTAAATCTACTATTTCTTTGAATAATGTTGTGGTTACTATAAAAAAGGGAGGGGTGGGGGTATTAGGGAGTGGGCGTCAATTCCAATGAATACGGTATATTTCTAAAAATTCTCTTGACAAATATACAATTTGATTTGATTTGCAGATCATCGTGATCATTTTAATTTTGGCTAATGATTGGTAATATAGGATTATAAGAGGGGAAATTTTAACATTCAAACTGTGATGTGATACCGCATAAATCAAACCCCGGATGAATATGTATATTTTAATATAACAATAGATATGTATAAGGTTTTTAAAGACATGACCTAGCACTCAAATTGCTTTACATAATAATATAATCATTTTAATGAAAATAATATCTGTATAATAAAGTTGAAATTTCTGTCTCAGCATGTTTTTCGTATGTTTGTTGATTATGTCACGGGGACATGACATTATGCAAATTATAATATCTAATATAGTAGTACAGGAAGATAGATGATTATGTGAGAATACAATTTGATTATTATTTATGTGAAAGGGGCTAAAATGTTAGTCCTTTATCTTAAACTATAATCCAATAAATCTATAAAACTAAGCATTAATTCATTAAACTAAGCATTAATCCATTAAACTAAGCATTAATCCATTAAACTAAGCATTAATTCATTAAACTAAACATTAATTCATTAAACTAAGTAATTTTGAAACATGGTTAGAAGGATAAATCGTGTTATATAGAGATTGCAATCTTTATTCATGGCACTCGGTAAATCTGACTTTAATTTTTATTACCATTCTAAGAGATATTATCCTTTTAAATTTTACACAGTACCGTATTCAATTTGATTTCAACTAATGTGTAAAATTTTCCAAGAAACAAATTTCTGCAGTTAATTACTACTTTACAATTGTCAAAAACCTTAAGAACATTTCTTTCTACTAAAACCGTTCTACTTTATTTTGTGGTTTAATGTCTTTTCTGCAGGTTAATATACCAATAAAATTGTTCTTTAAATCTGTTGTCAATCAAAAGTGTCCTATAAAGTCATAAGCTTCAAGCATGTTCACATTGACAAAACAAAGGGATAAGGTAATATATGCCCACTGGCAGCTTTGAATTTGAATAAAAATATTTAGCAGTACAGTAACAATCACCAGTATGAAATATTCAACCTTCAGTCATACACTTCTTTTGAACTCTTTAGGGCAATACTGAATAATATTGAGTATGAGTTATTGCTCTTATTCTTGAAAACCTGTTCAATTTTTAGCTCGTGAAAACTCTAGAAGGCAAATATTCAATCTTCAGCGCGGGACTGAATAATAAATAAAACCAAGTTTTGTCAAAATTCAGCAAGAATCATGCCTTTCAGAGCTAAATTTGAATAATTCATACTAAAATATTTTTCGATTTTTCTGATTTTCAATAATGGACATGGGTGACGGCAATATACGCCCCCCAATTCATGTGGGCGTATAAAAAAAACAAGTGTGTTGATTGGCCAGTTGAAAATGATGTGGCACCATGAACATTCCTTATACAAGGTTTACCTGCTACAGTGAAACACAGTAGAAATATATAATAGTTGACGAGATGATGTTAGTTGCATTTGAAATACATGTACATTATAACGTTTAAAATTCATTCAAATGAAGCAAGGAAAATATCGAGCTGTAGAGTTTTTGGGGCATGTTCTGTACCTGATTTCAATGGCACAAACATGTACTAAAATAGCCACTTTTCTTGGATATTGCAATTTTTTTACCTACCCAGATATTGATTAACTATTTCACCTACCTCATTTTGAAACAAGACAGTAGCCCAATAACTCGTATATAAATCAAATATGTCTTCTTTAATTCTTATCTCAACTTAACTTTCTCAGTCTTATAAATCTTGACCATAAACAAAATAATTTCAATTCAAATTTACTGTCTTATTACTTTAGTTGCTAAATATTATGAGCTTATTACTTACTATTTTCATATAAATTGGAATACATCAAAACATGACTAATTGTCATGACTGATAATTAATTTTAATTTCAAAAATTTTCAGCTGAAAATTGTCCTCTAAATGTGCATATTTCGAAATAATATTAAAGGCTTTATAAAAAGGTTTTCTAAATTTTTTATGACAGTGATAAAATCAATTTGCACTATTGCAGTGTTCAATCAGACATCTTTTGGTTCCTGCAATTCCACTAAAACTTCCACTATCTTGCAATTAGTGATGTCATCACTTGCTTTTTGTGGAATTGCATGACATTGACATCAGATTGAAAATTGCAATAGTACAAATTGATACACATGAAAAATTCTAAAAACCTCTTTACAATCCCTTCAAGTGCCAATTTTTATATTTTTTCCAGCAAAAAATCATTCTAAAGCAATCTTTACTATTTAGAAGCTGATATTCCAACTCACATATAATATAAACCTTAGCAATCAAAGTCATAAGACAGTAATGTCCTACAGTGGAGCTTATGTTGCTATTGGTTCATATTCAAACAAACATTTCTTAAATAATATTATTTCCAGAGAATACACTCTTCATGTTTAATTGCATGATTATGTTGATCCTCCTTTTGGCTTATGTCCAAAAACTGCATAAGTTTTATGTGCAACAATTGACAATATAAAGAAAATATTGCTCAGTAAAAGAAATTCTGGTGTTTACATAAGAGCTCTGTTTTAAAGGGACAGATTCGCCATTTTAGGGGTTTTATTTGTGTCTTGAACACGCATGTAATATATATGTAAATAGACAGTGTTTTAAACGCTAAAAATTGAACACGTTTTCAAGAACAAGGGCAATAACTGATACTTAATATTTTTCAATTTTTCTGATTTTCGATAGGGTTCATCCTTGGGTGATAACAAACACTCACAAGTTTCCTCAAAATGCCTCAAGAATAGTGCCATCTTGAGTGTATACGTGCTAAAAATTAAACGCATTTTCAACAAGGGCAATAACTCATAGTATTTTTTTATTTTTCTGATTTTTGATTGGGATCATCCTTGGGTGATAACAAACATTCATACCAAGTTTCGTCAAAATCTGTCAAGAATTGTACCTTCTAGAGTGTTTACAAGCTAAAATTGAAAGCATTTTCAAGAACAAGGGCAAGAACTCATATTAATTATTTTTCGATCAGTCTGATTTTCAATAGGGTTTATCCTTGTGTGATAAAAAACACTCATCAAAATCCGTCAAGATTCACAAGAAATTGTGGGCGGACGGACGGACATGGGTGACCACAATATACGCCCCTCATTTCATGTGGGTTTAAAAATGGCTTGAAAACAGCAGACCTATTGTTTGAGCAAAGCAAATATTTTTTTGAATATTATCAAATTTTTAAGAGAAATGGAATATCAACCTGACATAGTACTGATAGTCTTGGAATATCTTTGCATTGATGAATTATAATCTTTTGCAAGTTAAAGATGAGTTTTCTTATTTCTAAGAATCAAATTTAGTAAACTATTTGATTAATTGGTTATGTATCATGTATTCTTAATCATATCATCATTATGTTCTTATTGCATATGATTAAGAGTTTTAACCTATCATTAATGTCCAGTACAGTCTGGATAAGACTTTTTGATCTTTCTTGATCCGTCACTACTGGTATTTTTCCAAGTCATTAGAGCACCTCTATTTCCTATTCATATAAGTTTTAGCATAAATGAAAATAGGGGAACCCATCTTTAACATTAAAATGAAACATATTTCTCTCTAGACATTTCCACCAAACAAGTCCAAAATTTGAGCTAAAAATTATTACCAAACGTCACCATTTTTTATCGGACGAATTTCCTTATAATCCCAAGCGGTAATCGGAATTCCAAGTGTCATCTGCTAGAATATATTCCAACTAATGAAGTCACGTGATTAACTAGCGGATTCCGTGTCAGCAGAAAATTTCTATGGAACACAAAGTGGACCATATTCTTATGTTGTTTCAGTGACTTTTAGCAATCACGCTACATCATATTTTGTCAGTCACTATTTTTTTTTTTAAATCGTGGTTCTTTGAAGGAATTGTCACTAGTTATAATGAATTGATATTAAAGATAACTTAGAGAAGTTAATTATACCACCCGGTATCCATACAACGTGTTTTTCTAGACTTATTTATAGATCAAACATTGTACACGAAAATAGGTGACGCATTCTGCCGCCGTTGTCGAGTTGGTTGCTCATGAAATATGGGTGAAAGTGAAGGATTCGTAAAGAAAATCGAAATAAACCAATTTTAATTATTTTGTAGAATATCTGAGGAAACATCTAAGACATAAAAATTTTTTTTCGTTCTTTTAACTATGACGAAATTCGGTGTTGAATCCCTATATCCACGAAAATAGGTTACACCACTGTACAATATATTGATCTCAAATGCAAGTGGGCCATATTGTGGGTTATGAAAGTAAAATATGATGCAGACAGTTCCCCCTTTAAAAATAATTGTTTTTACCAAAAGCAAATATGACACAACTAGTCAACAAGCAGTATAAATTAATTCAATTTTTATGCATTATCTACATGAAAATGAAAATTTGATAAAAGAAAATTTCAAAGCTCGTGCAATGCTACAAGTACCTGGATGTCGCCATTTTGAACAGTCATGTGACTATCAGGAAATGGCAATCTCTGATTGGTTCATAGATTGTTATCGGAGGTCAAAGTTCAGAGTCTCCTGTCATATCAAGAATCAAATGTTATCAATTTTACACGAAGGTCTGTTTAAAGTGTGCAAAAAATCATGAGATTCGTGCAGTTTATAAAAGACGGACTACGGAGAATAGGCGTCGAGTTATCCGTTGGTGGATCTATAGTAGATTTGAATGCTGCCAATTCAAAATTTCCAAATGACATGAAAAATTTTCTTGCAGGAGGCCAGTCTCTTCTTATTGATGCTAAAAGGTGATAGTATAATGATGATTATTTGTTATGTATATGATTTAAAGCATTGTAAACAACAGAAGGTTCAATATAGACCTATATAGCCCTACTCTTTGCATTTTTCATTTTGAAAATATTTATATCATAGTCAAAAGAGACCGAAACATCTGTCTCTAGGCCTATTCCAGCCTCTGGTATATAGCTATTTTGAAAGTTGACAGCTGGTGTAGCTCAGACAGAAAAACTAGGCCCTTTTTAGTGTTGAATTTCCCCACCTCTTCAGGTGTGGGGCTGTTAATCCTATTTATTAAAATCAAATCAAGATGTATTCGGGAAGAATAATATTTTTGTAGTTCAGAAATGCCATCATCCCTCTACACCATTTTAGTCACGTCTGCGGTCCCATCAAAGTTTTTCAACGAAATTTATCTTTTGTTGCCAATATAAATTGCTTGTGCAGCTAAAAGTTCAGGCATCACAGAATCACGTGATACTAACAAAACAATTGTTACAGTGACCAAATTTCAGTCATCATATGATGCATTATAACTAATAACAATTTTTTCGATGGTTTTATATATTTTCAGCTACTACAAATATAAGAAAAGTAAAAAGTAATTGCAGAATTATAGCTAAAATATATTGAAACAATTAACATAAGAATATTGTTCACATTTTTTACATGGAATCCACTAGTTTTTCACGTGACTTTTTTTGCTAGAATATATTATTATCAGACGAAACTTGGAATTCTTACTACAGCTATGGATTATCAGGAAATTTGGACGATAAAAGATTGTGATATTTGGTAATAGTTGAAATTTGACTTTTTTTATTTGTTAGAAATAGATAATAAATTTGACCTTGCTTTGAAAAAATAAGAAAAACCTGTAGGTTGATGTTGTAGAGATAACCCATATTTATCAAAAAATGCAAATGAGGAGGTCAGGGAGATTTCACTTGTGAATTATTTATCATTATTTGTGGAGTTACACAAATTCAATTTCTATAAGTTTTTGCCCCAAAATATGTGTCAGAATGCACTTAATCAATTCAATTAGAAAATTTCTTGGAAAACTCTCAAATGCTTGAGAGGCTTGTGACTATGGTGCCTCCACAGAGTTGCTGCATTTTGAATTCAACCTTGAGTTAGTCTGTCCCTTTTTTGTACCCTTAGTGGTGGGAGGCAGGCCCTGTCATCGTCTGTATGACATTTTGTCTCTGTTTTGAGGATGCAGTTTTTTCATTGGAAGCTTAGTTGTTGGCTTTTAATCATTTAAACCATGCTCTTTATAAATAAATCCAAACAAATGGATTTGTGTTAATCTCTCCTGGTCTTTTCAGTCAAAATAATCTCAGTCTAGTGACCTTGAATATGTCTTCTTCCCTTAGTATTCCAGTTGACCCTGCTGTAACTGAATATGGATAATCCTTGAAAGATCAAAGACCTACTGGTAGAAAGGATCCTAAATGAACTTGATCCTTGTAAAAAATTATTTAAGACTTTTGACTGAAGAATATATCATTGTATACACATGTAAGATTGAAGATCAAGTAAAAATGTACTAGACAGTCTGATAATAGAAATATATATATAGTCAGCAAGTTTCAGTCTGTCTTTATCAGTTATTTACATATCCTTGAAATGATAATCCTATTCTTAAATAAATATACCTACTGTTTGTGCGCTGTCCACAAATAATTAGTTTGATATGTCACTAACTTGAACTATCATGTTTCAAATGTTTTATAATTAACTGACCAAATATCTGAATGTGGAGAATAATGTTTCTGTCAGTCCTTGTGAATGGTCTAGAAGCTAGAGTTTTTCAATCGATTTTATACGCCCACATGAAATGGGGGCATATACAGCCTTCACCCATGTCCGTCCATTGGTCAGTCCACTATTGCTCTCTCTCTCTCTCTCTCTCTACAAGACACAATTCTTCACAGATTTTGACAAAACATGGTGCGAGTGTTAGTAATCACCCAAGGATGAACCCTATTGAAAATCAGAAGAATCGAAAAATATTGAGTATGAGTTATTGCCTTTGTTCTTGAAAACGAGTTCAATTTTAGCTTGTAAACACTCTAGAAGGCACAATTCTTGATGGATTTTGACGAAACTTGGTGTGAGTGATTGTTATCACCCAAGGATAAACTCTATCAAAATTAGAAAAATTGAAAAATATTTAGTATAAGTTATTGCCCTTGTTCTAAAAAACTCTTTAATTTGTAGCTCGTAAAAACTCTAGAAGGCATGCTCCTAACCGGATTTTGACAAAACTTGGTTTTATTATTCAGTACCGCGCTGAAGATTGAATATTTGTCTCCAAAAGTTTTCACGAGCTAAAGATTGAACACGTTTTCAAGAGTTTTCGTGAGTGACTCGCGAAGACTCGCAGAAAAAACTCTCAAGTGGACACCCGGCTTTACTGTACTGCTAAATATTTTTATTCAGAATCAAAGCTGCCAGTGGGCGTATATTTCCTTGTCTGGCAAGCTATCTTTCAATTTTTCACTTACTTGAAACACCCCTGATTGTAGACACCGCTTGTTAATTATTTTTGTTATTTCAGTGCTGTAGAAAGTGGTAAAAATGTAATAGAAAGACAGTCTGTGAAACTGTTAGCTCCAATTACTGATCCTGGTAAAGTACTATGTGTTGGTATGAACTATACAGATCATTGTCTGGAACAGAATGCTCCAGTACCAGTGGAACCTGTAATATTTAGTAAATTTGCTAGTAGTATTATAGCGAGTGGAGATGATATTATATATCCTGATGAAACACAGGTATTTATTACATTTAAAATTACGGTTTACAATAGTTACAAATGGGTGTAAATACTTTGTTTTGGTGCATAAGAAACATATGAATATTTATTAAGAAATGTCAAACAAGTAGATTTGGAAATGAGTCAACAATCTACTTGATGAGATGATGAGCCATATTTTGAATTACACTTCTACAATTAAGATCAGCCAATTAAAAATCCTGTTTCAACATTGTAGACTTGATTAACTAGTCTTAGCTGATCAGAATACACCAATTCATTTGTTCTCGTCACATAATCCCAGCACTTGAGAGGGGAGAAATTTGAATGGTTGGTGTAAAGAAGGAAATCGAGACGGTGTTATGAATCTTTGAAGTGGTTGCTAAAAAACTAAAAACTAATAGAATTACGGAACGAAAGTAGCTGATTTTGTGTCACACGCTTTATTTTTTCATCCCTTGAACTCAACAGCTAGAATCTTGAAAAATTTTGTCATTTTGACATGTGATACAACATTAATTGGGCCATGTTGCATGTTTCTTTTGTTTTTTCAGGAACTAGATTGGGAAGTAGAATTAGTTATTGTGATAGGAAAAGAAGGCAAAAATGTCAAGGTACTTTTTGATAAGTAATAATCGTACTTTCCCCTGGAGGAAAAACAAAATCTTAAATAGATGTTACTTGTCTTTATTTAAGTTATTCGTATAACTTGTCACAACTAACATTTCCAGTGTCTCAACTAGGTGAGTGGAGGCCTGTGGATTTGGTTGGCCTCTTCGCCAGAATTTTGTTTTTAATATTACATTAAAATCAATTTAATGCCTGTTATTAGAAGATTTAAAAATTTTCAGCCTGAAGTTATGGCTTTTCAACTCATTTACATATTTTTCCTGGGGTTTGGGCTCCCCTTAGGAGTGGTGGCCTGTGGACTTGGTTCAACCAGTCCTTATGGTAGTTGAGCCACTGTATATTTCAATGCGTGGTTCCTCTGCAATTTATAAAAAAACGATCAAGTGTTGACTATCTTTGTGTTAGTAGATGATAAAAAGACAACAGATGAGCTTAAGCGCAATCAGCTGGAATGTTGGAATCATTTCTTTGCTTATGTTAAACAAATGGTGGTTATGGGTTCTAATCTCTGTCAGTGTGTCTAGTCTAGTGACCTTCAATAATTCACCTCATTTTCAACTGTAAATTGATATGGATACTGTGGGAAAGATCAATGCCAAGATCCTTGAGAATGATTTAGTTTTTGTCTTAGTAGAAAATGATTGTTTTCTTCTTTTCTTTGTGAACTTGTCCATCTTCTAAACCATATATAATTGCAGGAATCTGAGGCTATGAAGCATGTATTTGGCTTTACAGTAGCACATGATGTTAGTGCCAGAGATTGGCAGATGAAAAAGAATGGTGGACAATGGTTACTTGGTAAAACTATGGACTGTTTCTGTCCATTAGGTCCAGCTATCGTTATGAAAGAGGATATAAAAGGTATATGTCGCCAATTAGAGTCTTGAGTAAAATCTTGCGTGTGCCCTTGCTTCCACGAAAATATTATCGCGTCTCCCACAGGATTTATATTATCAAATAGGTTTGATAATTGTCTCCGATAGTTGTATCATATACAAGATTGACTGTCATCATCCAATCAGATTTATTTTCCTTTCGACATAGTGGAAAATGACTGACCATTCGTGCCAGTCAGTGAAACTCTTGACAAGACACTTGTCGGCCACAAAAAATTTCTGACCAAGACCGTTCATATGCCTGCACCTTAAGGAATAGAATCTCTGTATAACGTGATATAGCCATTAAACTAAGTATTTATTGAAATATGTTTCTATGAAGTGTCTTTCAAAATTTCTTAGTTTTTTGATTTTAGAGGAATTCTGTCATATAGTTTTGACACCAAGTAACAAACACTCATTTTGGCCAAGGTAACCTATAATAAATCATTGCCACATGTCTCAGGATAATCCAAGCTGTTTTTGTATCCTATAACTTATATTATATTTTCAGATCCCCATAATTTAAGATTAACATGTAGAGTAAACAATGTAGTAAAACAAGAGGGTAATACAGATAAATTGGTACATAAAACAGAAGCTGTTGTTGCATTTATTTCAAGGTTTGTGATACTCATAGATACATGTACAACCTTGTTAATAATAACTGTTGACCTGTAAATTTGTACATTACAACCTTGTTAATAGTAACTGCTAATGTTTATTTATAGATTTGTACATTACAACCTTGTTAATAATAACTGTTGATGTTTATTTTATAGATTTGTAACATTTTACTGTTGATGTTTATTTGTAGATTTGTAACATTACAACCTTGTTAATAATAACTGTTGATGTTTGTTTATAGATTTATAACATTACAACCTTGTTAATAATAACTTTACTGTGGATGTTTATTTATAGATTTGTATATTTCAACCTCGTTAATTATACCTTCTTGTTGATGTTTTTTTGTTGATTATAACATTCCAACCTTGTTAATAATGAATTGGGGTTTATTTATAGATTTTTGACATTACAACCTCGTTAATTCTAACTGTTGATGTTTGTTTATAGATTTATAACATTACAACCTTGTTAATAATAACTTTACTGTGGATGTTTATTAATAGATTTGTAACATTACAACCAAGTGATGTAATATTGACTGATGTTTGTTTATAGATTTGTAACATTACAACTTGGTGATGTAATATTGACTGATGTTTATTTATAGATTTGTAACATTACAACTTGGTGATGTAATATTGACTGATGTTTGTTTATAGATTTGTAACATTACAACTTGGTGATGTAATATTGACTGATGTTTATTTACAGATTTGTAACATTACAACCTGGTGATGTAATATTGACAGGAACTCCACCTGGTGTAGGTGTCTTCAGAAAACCACCAGAGTTTCTAAAGGTTTGTACTGGAATTTCTTGCTGGTCAGTTTCATTTCATTGCAAAGATAGTGTCCTAGTTGAGTATGCATGTTATACATTATTAAACCAATTAAAACCTATGAACTCATAACTTGATAGGGACATCATAAAATGCATAATTTTACTGAATTTGAAAGAACCATAGACGTCTGAGTTCAAAGCGAAGTCTCTTCATTCCATACAAGATTTCTATGAAAAGCTTAATGAATTGAAAAATTGTGTGTTATTTTGTAGAGAGGTGATGTTGTAGAATGTGAAATCCAAGATATTGGTAAAATTGTAAACAGAGTCGTGTGATCTATCTAAACCCAGTAAAACATAATGAACTCTGTGATTATAGTATTGTACGTGATTCTGACTTGAATGGATATTATGCTCCCCTCTACATTCATGATTTCTGATAATAATTTCAGTATATTGGAGTAGTATATGTCTTTTCGGATATGACGCATTTCACTTCTGCGCATGCGCAGCTTTTTCAATGCGTCATATCCGAAAAGACACAACTGCTAAAATGTATTATAACAGACTCCCCAAACTGCTAAAATGTATTATAACAGACTCCCCCAAACTGCTAAAATGTATTATAACAGACTTCCCAAACTGCTAAAATGTATTATAACAGACTCCCCCCAAACTCAGCATTCTCCATACTACATATAAATACCCAACCACACAAGATTCACTATAATAATACAGTATAAAATAACCCCATTAAAAATAAGATGTCTTTAATTTTAAAACACGAACAAAAAAAATTCGAAGGAGACGGTTTCTTCTCAGCTCTATCATCTCTCATCCCAAAAGTAGCTAACTTTGTCTCAAACAATAAATCCCTCATTTCCTCAGAAGCGCAAGCTTTTGGATCTGTTGCAAAAGCAGGAGTAAATATAAGCGATGCAGTGAAAAAATCTGACGAACTTAAAGAACTGCAGCTAATTCAATATTCGTTCAACAAGAAGAAAGAGGATTACGTAATCATCTCACCATCGGTAGGGACAAAGACCCAAATAAACGACGGAGGAAGAGTTACCTTTGAAATAAATTCGTTGTCCAATTGGTTGCTGCTTTCCGATGCGATTTCAAAATCAAAGACGCCACTCAGAATCGAGTTCCACAAACCAACACGACCTTAGAAAACAATTTCTTCAGCGAAATGGTTTTGGAAGCTGGTTCAAATCCGATAGAGATCATAAAACACCCCGGCGAGTTTGACATGTTGAAAACGGTTCTGTATCCCAAAAACTACGATTCAGTTTCGGGATGGATTCCCGATGTCGGTGACGGAGAAGTTTTAAAAGAACCGGTCAGAACTGTAGCAAATAACGCAGACCTTGCTGGGATAAGGGTAGTTGCTAGAAACACACTGGAAAGAGTGTCTCTGGAGTAAATCACAGATTTGAAAAACGAGCGCTTCAATACAACAATATTGTCGAGAACAACAGATGGGGTAATTACGTAAATTGGAAGTTGTATCCTTTATTTGGTCTCTTGGAACACAGAAAGGTTTCCATAGGTTTGCCGTATAAAATTCATTTGCAAAGAGAAATCAACGACAACAAGATATTCTTTGGAGAGAATGCTTCAGATGCAAAATTAGAAATAACGAATATCCAACTTTACATACCGGTAATCACTCCTTCCGTAGAAGTGGAAACGAGAATATTCAACTCTTTAACCAAAGACATCGAAATTGCTTTTCTTCATCGTAACACGGTAGGTAGCATGACTTTAACGGGAGAATCCACCACGAGGCCAATCACCAACACCGTCAAACCAGCGAGATATATAATGGTCGGTTTCAAAAACTTGCCAGACTCTCAGACAAACAAAAACAACATTTTCAGAGTAGCATTGAACCATACTCAAGATCCCATCATTCGCAAAGTTCAAGTCGGATTGAACAACGATAATTATCCCAATCAACCTTGATCCTTCCAAAAAAGATCACAACGAATTGTACAGAAACTATAAAAACATGTGCGAATTGTTTGGAAATACGCCTCAGTTTGAATACACAGATTTTTCACTCAATCATCCAATCTTTTGCTTCGATCTGTCAGCTCATCAAGAAGATCTTTTCAAAACAGGGGTAAACATAAATATTCACATCGATAAAACACAAGGAGATGTAACCGGTTACTGTTTATTATTGGAAGAAGCAAAACATTTGATTGAAATATCAGATAGAAGAATGATAAGAATTGAATAAAAAAACAACCTTTAAAAATCAAACCAGAAACTTTAGTTATGAAAATAATAGAAGCTATCGAAACGAATTCGCCAATTCTAATAACTTACAACGGTAAAAAAAAAGTGCATATAACCCAAAAGATTATCGATAAATACAAACATTGCGAAGTCAGAGACGATATAGACTTGGAAAGAATTGATGAGAATTTAACTAAAAAAAGGGGAATTTTTACCTTTCTTATCTTTAATCTTTGCTGGTTTAGCTGCAGCTGTTGCAACTGCTGGTGGGCCTGCTGGAATAGCCAAAGCTGTCAACGATAAGAAAGCTGAAGCCGCTGCAAACGCCGAAGCACATAGACACAATTTGGCAATGGAAAGAGAAGCACGAGGAGGTTCGGGAGTAGGAGATATATTAGGGACAGTTAAAGAATTCGGACAAAGAAGAAACCAAGAAAACCGTTAAAGAGGGATTAAGCAAATTAATAGATAATATCGACACGGGAGAAATAAAAGTCAAACACAAGGGCAACGCCATATTTTTTAAAAACAGACGTTCAGGCGAGGGAATCTTTCTTTCAAAGTATAAAGGCAACGGGGTGATTTTTGGTACGAAAATGTAATAAATAAAAATGGGCAAGAAATTCAAACATTCGGACATATTTCCTAGTAACCCAATGCTCATGTGTATATGCGGTAGTTCCGGTTCTGGGAAAACTAATCTCACTTTTAACATGTTGACAACACCAAACCTTTTAGATTTCAATTCTCTGTATATCTACACAACAACACCAGAGCAATCATATTATCAATTCCTGAAAGCTTTAGAATATTTACCAAAAAAAGATGTTCAAGACATATTTCAATATTATGAAGAAAACGAAGAAGAAGTGGAAATAAAAGATATCATAGAAAACTTCATTAAATCAAAGAATCCATCTTTAAATCCAACGGATATAAAAGTTTTTCTTACGAAAAATGTTAATGATCTAGACTTGTCTAATATTGATAGCAATCGAAAGAACTTAATATTGTTTGACGACTGCGTAGCGCAAAGAAATCAAACTGTTCAACAAGAATTCTTCACGAAAGGAAGACATCACAACTGTCACTGCATATACCAATCCCAATCTTTTTACGGGATGGACTCTATGTTCATTAGAAAAAATGCAAATTGTTTTTTTATTATTTGAATTAAATGATAAAGATTTATATTATATTATATTCAGTCTATAAATCACGGAATGGATAAAGATACATTTAAAAAGGTTTGTAAAGCTCAATGGAGAAACCCAGATGATCATGGATATGTATTTGTAAATACTAGAAAACCTGCGGGTGAAAGAGTTATGATCGACATATGTTAATTTTATTTTTTTTAAAAATGGATAATTGGAATAATATTTTAAAAAGAAATAGAGAATATATCAAAGCTAAGAATAAAATAAAGACCCAAGTTAAAAAAAAACAAATTACAACTTGGATTAACAGAAAATCTACAAACTCTATTTCAACCAATATTAAAATCTCAAGAGGATATTAAAAAGAAATTAGCTTTAGAACCCACACCTCATCACCCCGAGCCGATTGAATATGGTGGTATTAAGACATTAGATGATATAAAACGTCTTTTTTCAAACCCTGACTCAGATTTACCAAAGAGCATTACACCAATCGTTGATGATGAGGGGTTATTGTTTAATGGATTTAGAATAAGATTTAGTGGAAATTCACCACAATTCAAAATCGACACAAAAGACTTTATATTTACATTAACGAGAGGATAAATAGATTTAATGAATGGCGAGGATGTTGAAATTGCCGATTACAAGGATTTAGTTGCATACTCAAAATTTCTACATGCGATAAGAAAGTCAGGACCCGAAAACGCTTCCGTTTCGCCGATATCGAATAGGTTTTTACCTTGAAAGTATCTACTTTTATTTCTGCTTTGAATCCATATTTGTTTGATTTAAAAAGTATTTGATCATATGGCCTTTCTCCATCTATGGTAGTGTCACTTTCGAATGGAAGATTGGTCAACTTTCTCTCTTGTCTCAAAAAATCGTCATGAATTCTAGATACCAAAAGATTGACCTGTTCTTTAATATATTTTATCATCTTGAAATATATTTTGAAGAAAGTTTTTATTCACACCCACTACTTTTTCTAATTCGTCCGTGATTTTAGTATCCAAAGCAGTCAATTGTCGTTTCAACGTATCTTTGTCAATGGGATGTGTGAGATTTTTAATTATATTTTGAACATCTGATTTTTGCTTCGCGATCTTTTCGTTCAATTTGGATATTGAATTTTGTAACTCAGTTTTGTCCACGGTCTTGTCTAGTTCTGCTAGCAATCCGCCAAGTTTTCTTTCCAAAGCAGTTGTTTTTCGTTTCAATCTATCCTCGTTTACGTTTGGGTTATCTATTAAATCTTTTATCTATTATCTTATCGTCTAATTTAGATATTAAATTTTGCAACTGACTTGTTTTATCCACTTGAATAAGACGTTTCAAACTCGTTAACTCTTGTTGTAGTTTGGGTTCGTCCACAAGATTTTTAATATTTCGTCTGAGGTAGCTTTTCACTTCAGTTATTCTATTTTCAACATGGTCCTTATCTATTTTAATTGCGTTTATTTGATCCAGTAAATATTTCTTGTTCACGGCATCGTTATCGTTTCCTGGAAACTTTCAATTAGTTATTTTGAAATTGTTCATATCAATATCCCCTTGTCCACACAGCTTTTGTCCTGGCATTTGAATTTGAAACGTAGAACATTTAATTGGTTTGCTAGTCAATTTCGTTATCTTTTCTGTCGGTTCTAGACCGAAAGAATCAAAGAAATAAAAGTTATTCAAAGAATCTTTGTGTAGAGCAGAGTGATGAACTCCTTTTTGATCCGACGTATGAATGTTTGTGATGGCGTAAAATTTACCTTTCTTGTATTTCAGTTCATCAATTTCATCTCGCATGCAATAATAAAACTGCGAGACGTTCAACTCCTTTGCCCATTTCACAAGTTAAAAGTTTGTGGTCGTGTCTTTTCCGTATTTATCGAGAAATGCATTATTTTTTAAAGTCAGTTTTTTTGAAGTTCATTTTGATAAAACCTTTCTGAAATAATGATTTTGTATTAAAGTTAAATCCCGAGATATCAAAAATATTTTGAGGTATTATGTTTTTCGAATTCTTTCGGAGTATGCGGTAAGTATTGTTGAAGACCCAATTGACGAAATATAAACGTAGTTTGTGTTTGAAAAAACTTGTATAACATTCTGATAAAACACATTCAATAATATTTTGAAGATAAATTTACATTTAAATTTTAAAAATTTTAATTTAAGAAAGCGTAAATGCTTGTCGACATCTAAATTTCTTAATCTCTCATCTAACTCTTCATTTTCGAGAAATGCATTCATTTTTAAAAGTCAGTTTTTTGAAGTTCATTTTGATAAAACCTTCCTATGATTTGTTCTTTGTCTTGATCGATCAATTCATACGTGGGAGGTGATGTGCTATTTATTTTATCAACAATGAATATCTCGTTAGTCCAATACCCGACGTAACCTTTCTGAAATAATGATTTATATTTAAAAATACGAACTCGATCTTCAACTTTGAATTTGGGTTTAATATTCAAATTGCTAATCTCGTTTTCAAAGTTGTTTCGAGTGTTGATGGACTTTATGATAATCGGGTTATTCGAGGCTTGCGTTGGCGTCACACCTATAGATGAATGTATTTTGTTATTGTATTCGTCGACAACAACTGGTAATATTTTAAGCCATTTTTGAGATTTCAATTCCGTGAATTTCTTGAATAATTTGCTTTTAAGAGTCCTGTTGAATCTTTCTATCACTACGGCTTTACCTTCGTTATGCGTGCTGTAAATTTCAAACCCCAGAGGTTTCACATTTCTGTTGTAGAATTCGCTTCTTTTATCAACCCACAACTTTAGGGGTCGTCTGTCGGATTGTTTCATTATGGTTTCGAATGCTTGTTTGACAGTCAGACCCGATTTGTTTTTCAAGGGAAAGACCCAAGCGTATCTCGTGTATATGTCGATCACCGTCAAACAATACTTGTACCCTCTCTCGACTGGCATGTTGATTAAATCGGCTGACCAAATTTCATCTTTATCAAAAACTTTGACTTTGAGGTAATGTTTGTTTTTTCGAAATTCTTTGTGAATCTCGTCTGCTATGCCCATACCCAATTTCAATTTTGCCTTCAAGAGTTTTATGATAAGAGCCCTTTGTAATTTCTCTTTGAAAGTGGGATTGGGAATATTTTCAAGTTCGTGTATCATTTGTTTGTCTGCTTGGTGTCTGAATGTTATGTCTTTGTTTCTGTACAGTATGTCGTGTTTGAGCGCTGCTGCGTCAACTCTTTTAACGGGTTCTTCCCCTGGTTTGGGATTATCATTTTCATCCAATCGTAGATATAATCACGTGCCTGGACCTGTATAATTGTGCCCTGAGAGATGTTTTTCTCCGGGATATTTTGCCCATGGGAATCCAGGAAGAGAACCCAATGACTTTTGAATGTCTCCCGCACCGAAATACGTTTTAGGAGGATGGACATTTATTAAAGACATATTTGTTGCTAATCAATAATGAAATAAACACGATATATTTTTAATACGAAAGATTTAATACAGGAGAAACTATTCAAACGATAGAAATGAATCACTTTATGAAATGTCATGACCAATTCTGAAAAAGCGGTCAACAGACATGATCGGTATGAAATGAGGTCATGACCGCTCCTATAGAATCGCTAGATATACTTCAGAGTTATCTCCCCTCTTACACTATTGGCAGTCATAGTTCAAGGGTTATGACCGCTCCTATAGAATCGCTAGATATACTTCATAGTTATCTCCCCTTTTTCACTATTGGCAGTCATAGATCAAGGGTCATGACCGCTCCTAGAGAATCGGTAGATATTCGTCACATGAATTATATCGTTTTTCCAACACGCTTGTTCTTCTCCACTTGTTCTATTTTCGAAATCTCTATCAACAATTTTGAAACCTCAGATATTTGTCACAGAGTTTGGTAAAATTCTTGGCCTTTTTCTATCCCCTACCGATTGTTTAAATATTCTTCGTGATATGAAATGTTGCATCTATGAAAAAAAAAAACAACAAATTAATCTTAATTCCACCCTGTCGTCTTATGATTAAATCAAACAAATCAAACCTTGATTTTGTATGATTAAATTCCTAATCTTCCAGCGTAACCAAAATTGAGACACTGCTAACAGTTGAGATATGATAAAAAAAACAAAAAACAGTGTTACCTCCTATTAATCAGTTGAGGTTTTTATCCAATAATTTTTATTTCGCATTTCTCTTATATGTTGTAATTCTTTCAACTCGTTAGGTCTTTTCACTGCATCGCTTATATCTACTCCTGAGGAAATTTGTTGTTTGAAACAAAACCGGCCACTTTGGGGATGAGAGATGATAGAGCTGAGATGAAACCGTCTCCTTCGAATTTTTTTTGTACGTGTTTTAAAATTAAAGACATCTTATTTTTAATGGTGTTATTTTATACTGTATTATTATAGTGAATCTTGTGTGGTTGGGTATTTATATGTAGTATGGAGAATGCTGAGTTTGGGGGAGTCTTTTATAATACATTTTAGCAGTTTGGGGAGTCTGTTATAATACATTTTAGCAGTTGTGTGTTTTCGGATATGACGCATTGAAAAAGCTGCGCATGCGCAGAAGTGAAATGCGTCATATCCGAAAAGACATATACTACTTATTGGTATTTAGTAATACTAGTTAATTTTTGATTCTACTTTCCGGATTGTTATTAAAACTGTTTTAACTGATACTGATTAAATATCATGTTTGTCGAAGTGCTTGATGCCATCAATCAACTGATATTTCAGCCTGCTGCATATATTGTCGTCATACATTACATTCTGCCGTTCAATTTAATTTTAGCTAATAATGCTTACTAAGAAAGAAATTCAACATAGTTTGAATGAAATGCAAATTTTACAAAAATATTACATAATATAATATAGAAAAAGACATTACATGTTCAATAATACTATGGGCCATGATATCACCGTCTTCCTTTAGCATTGGTGATCATAGGTAACGGAACATGGGAGAAGTCTGATACATTTAGTACACTTATAGAACACACTATAATAAAATTACTTTTTATGTGCCACATGTATAATATTTACATAGCCTTACAGTGTGCGGGTTTAGAACCAGGCCGTGCCTCAAATCTGAATTTTAATCCCACTTGTTTGAAATGGTGTAAGTATTACAGCCAATCCTGGTCAATGGCTTCATTCGCTTACATAATCCTACCAAATCGGTATATTATAAACTTCTTGGATACAAGAAAGATGCTGAATGATGTCAAGGTATTAGACGCAGTTTGCAAATGCTTGACATTTTCCTGATGGATTATGTAGATTGGATAAGATTGTAGTGAAAATAGACAATAGAGACCAGGATTTTCATTTACTATTGGTTGAAGATCTCAGTTCACTCCTTCTTATTTTTTACGACTGCCTTTTGTTTTACGCACAAACAACAACAACAACATTTCACTAACCTATAGAACAAATAGATAAATAAACATAGAAACATAAATATGATAAACCACACATCTGTCATATTTTCAGCTAGAAAATTAAAGTCACTTGAAACAGGTCTTAAATGATCACCACCAAATTTTAAAACGTGTTCGAGTGCATTAGCTGCAGTTTCTCTTGGTGTGAATTTAGCATCATGATAAATAGCAGATAATCTGTTCATATTAGCTTTAAAAGATTTATCATTTAATACATTTTGCACGGTTTGAATTATATCTTCGTCTTTAGAATTTAGCATGTTTATGGAATCGCCAATTTTTAAGTATTTTACTTTCACACCATTGCCTGCTTGGTCGCCATGGAAGGGCATACACACGATAGGAACAGCGTGGTAAAATCCCTCATTTAAACCGTTTTTACCACAATGACTAACAAATAACACAGTGTTTTTATGTGCCAACACATCATTCTGTGGTAACCACGACATCGTTTTCACATTCCCATATTCTGCGTTTTCAGAGTACGACATGACCACGCTCTGTTTAAAGTGCTTAAATATGTTGACCACTCTCTCAAAGAATTGTTTAGGAGATTTCCTCAGCGTACTTCCAAACGATACGACAATCACCCCATTTTTAGACTTTGAAAAGAAATTTTCCAAATCTTGTGGCAGTGGGCTAGCAGGACGTGTTGTTAGGCCACCTACACGAATATGATTCGGATATAATGCTTTTGGGTAATCCATGATGTCCATATTATTTTCCATAAATAATAATGATTTTCTGGCCGCATCTCGAACATCAACATCTAAAACCTCTGTCGGAACATAGTTCCTTAGATTATCCTTACTGAAAGGCGAAGACCATTTGATAACCTGCATTACAGCATAAAACCCCATTGTCATTAAAGTATTGAGAACCCTGTGAGGTAAAGTCATGTTAGGTGTATATGGAGACAGCAGAAATGGAAAGGTATGTGTTTGAGGAGGTCCACCAGAGGAGCCCGGGAAAATGTAGGAACCAATCATCACCGACTCTGCATTGAGATATTTGGAAACATAAAACAAACATTCTGCTGTCGGCATAGAATCTATCAGTACGATATCTACCTTCAAACTTTTCAACAATTTAAGTTCATCTGTTGACCGCAAAGCTGATTCACACATATAGTTCCCGAGTTCACGTATGCTAGACAGAAGAGCTATGTTCATACTCGAGAAATGACTTTCAAACGTAGACTGTAATACAGCTTTGTCCACGAATGTTCGAACCTCTTGTAACTGTTGCGTGGCTTTAAATGGTATGACTTTAGCTTTGGTATTATCAAAACAATTAGAAGATTGAAAAAAATCAGGTATGTAGAAAGTTGCTGTGTGACCTCGTTTGATTAATTCATCAGCTATGCCCATCATCTCTAAACAGTGGCTATCGACAGGTAATGGTAACATCAGAAAATTTCCGGACTGACCGCCTTTTACCATCATCAGGAAAACTACCAAAGTTGTCAACTTGAACATCTTTACTTTCTGAAAAAGACGTGGTTGTTACTAATCCTGATTAAATCTTAAAGACGCAAATTTAAAGGGATTTGTCCTTCACAATAGGGGTGGGGAGGGGGTGGGGGCGATGGTATATAGTTAGACACTCCAGATATAATGCGGTATCATATCACATTGTTTTGCATTGAATGAACATAAAATTCCAAAAACTTTAAACTTTGCCAATAAGAGCATATCATATTCATCAGTTGATATACCTGGTGTCATAAATAACATAACAGGATCCTTATATAATCCGATAAATCCAAAAAACTTAGTAATCATCCAATAAAATATTGAAAAACGCTTAATATTGATTTTTCAATAATTACTTAGTTTTATGAATTTTCCAGATTTTACAGGGATTCTGTTGTAACTTTGACACCAGGTATGTTCAGTGATAAATATATACCCATTCTTGATAACTTAAATTTTATGTTCATTCTAAAACGAAGTATCACTTTAAAGATCCTAGACTGTTGGAAATCAAAATTGAGGAGACCAATGATCAGCTGTCCTGGCAAGATTTCCTCATGGCACAATTTTTGTCGTTGTCCTTCATTTTAGCCATAATCGGGTAAAGAAAAGTATCAATATCATTTCATTTCTCCACGACACCGACCCGCGACGTTTATCGAATTGTTTGAAAATGATTGATAAAGTTGTGGGATGACAACTAGAAATCTTCCTTTGAACAAGAAGCGTTCATGGACGGCCTAGTAGACTGCCATTTTTTATGTTATTAATCCACCGATAAACAAATACCTAAATACCTCATCGACCTACATCATGGATTCATCTATCTATAGTTTTTTTGAATTTAGAATTCAGTTCACAAGATGATCGTGTTGGAAATTAATCATTTTTCAGGCAGACTAAGCCGACATTAAGCTGATTTCCATTTAGCATTTATTCGTAATTAAAACCTTATTTCATAAAGAAAATCAATTTACCTATTTCTGTTCCACAAAAGCTGTTATTTTTAGCTGTTTACTCGGCCCCGATTAATGTAGTTCAAATCTATATTTGTATTGGTATAACACAGCCTATATAAACGAATAGCCATAGTTCTAGTTTTTGACCTCAGAGTAACTAGTCTTCCAACAATCTTTTTCATTCAACACCTTTTATACGCCCACAAGGAAATGTGGGCGTATATATTGCCGTCGCCCCTGTCCGTCGGTGCGTCCGTCGGTCCGTCCGTTCACATTTCTTGTAGGCGCGAAAGATCTTGATGAAACTTGGTATGCATATATTGATATCGGTCAAGTTCTAAATTGGTAATAATTGGATGACCGGTTTCAGAGTTTTTGCCCTTGACTTAGTAAAAATGCGTCAAATTTGGCTTGTAGGCACAACAGAGACAACAGTTTTTATCTGATCTTGATGAAACTTGGTATGCATGTATGTATTGATGAGATCTCGGTCAAGCTCGAAATTAGTAATAATCGGATGGACGGTTTCAGAGTTATTGCCCTTGACTTATAAAACGCGTCAAATTTGGCTTGTAGGCACGATACAGACAACAGTTTTTATCTGATCTTGATGAAACTTGGTATGCATGTATGAATGATGAGATCTCAGTCAAGTTCGAAATTCGTAATAATCGGATAAATGGTTTCGGAGTTATTGCCCTCGACTTAGTAAAAACGCGTCAAATTTGGCTCGTAGGAACGATAGAGACTACAGTTTTTATCTGATCTTGATGAAACTTGGTATGCATGTATGTATTGATGAGATCTCGGTCAAGTTCGAAATTACTTATAATCGGATGGACGGTTTCAGAGTTATTGCCCTTGACTTAGTAAAAACGCGTCAAATTTGGCTCGTAGGCACGATAGAGACTACAGTTTTTATCTGATCTTGATGAAACTTGGTATGCATGTATGTATTGATGAGATCTCGGTCAAGTTCGAAATAACTTATAATCGGATGGACGGTTTCAGAGTTATTGCCCTTGACTTAGTAAAAACGCGTCAAATTTGGCTTGTTGGCACGATAGAGACTACAGTTTTTATCTGATCTTGATGAAACTCGGTATGCATGTTGAAATTGATAATAGTTGGATAACAGGTTTCAGAGTTATTGTCCTTGAACTAGAAATACATGTATATGTTGATGAGAGTTCTTAATTGGTAACAATCGGATGAACGGTTTCGGAGTTATTGCCCTTGACTTAGTAAAAACTTACTACATTTTTATCCAATCTTGATAAAACAAGATATATTAATGAGATCTCGGTCAAGTTAGAAATTGGTAATAATTGGTAAACCGTTTCAGAGTTATTGCCCTTGTGTGTACAGCGATGAGACATTGTTCATGTTTGAATTTGATCTTAATTTTATGAACTGTTTCAGGTTTTTGCCTTGACTTACAGATGATTTATTATTATTTGAAAATTCATTATCAAGCCACTAAATATTTTGTTATCATTTCTGATAGCTGGTAGTGGGCGTATGTTACCTTGCCTGGCAAGCTATCTTTATTAAAGGGATTGTAAACAAAACGTAGCATGAAAGTTCACTTTACGCACATCAGGATAACTCGAATCTCGAATAATCATTACAGTCAATAGGTAGTAGTTATTACATGCATCAATGATGTTTATGCTGCTGCACCACCAATGTCCTCAGCCGAGGCCATCCCTCATTGTGTGTTTCGACCCCTAGCTCGGCACACTCTCAGGAAGGGGGGTCCACGGTAATGATCAGTTACTGCGCATCGGTGGTGGGTTTCCAGCTACTGTTGTTTCTCTTCATCCACACCCAGCATGATGATTTTTTTTTGTGGCCTGAGACGTTCTCTGGATTGCTGTTCGTCTGCTTCTCCCTGTTACTCCTAATGCAGAAAGCATTCTCCAAACTGACTGTGCATGGAAGCCTCTGCACCCAACTTCCACTGGATAACTCTAAGTCTGCCACCCATTCTCTCTGCATTCCTTTAACAACGATTCGTACTTGGTCTTTTTCCGCTCGTGGGCTTCACTACATCTTTACTCCCATGGGGTTGTCAATTCAATGATGACGATCTTTCTTGCTCCTGGTTACCAAAGAGCCATATCTGGTCTAAGATTGGTTGGGACTACCTGTGGGAATGCCAGTGTATGATCAAGATCTACGGCTAACTGCTTGATGTAATGTTTCACAAATCTCCAGCTTGATGTAATGTTTCACAAATCTTTTTATCTACTCTAGATGCTGTCTCACCCTCTCTTACAAAAAGGATCTTTGTGGGCTTATTCTTTAGATGTTTCTTCATGTTTATTCTCTCTTTTTCTATGATGTCCGCCAGCTCCATTAATACTTAGTTGTGGCGCCATGTGTACCTTTCCTGTGATAGAGCCACACGACATGAAGAGAGTATGTGGCTTAGTGCTCCTCTCTGACCATCTGTGGAGGTTTGCTGGTGTTGGCAGCACATCATACACCGATCTGAGCAAAAACTGGAATTGGAACTGCGGGTATCTCCATATTTCCGACCAAGTTATTGATCTTTTGTCTGTTTCCCATCTTGTCCATGCTCCCTGGATTTCCATTTAAACTGCTTTGGACCATATTCCGCTTCTCAGCTGCATCAGCATTCTTCCAGTAACTGATTTTAGAAGTTCCCAAGCCTTGTCGTCCTAATGCTACTGTACCAACAATATCTCTTTGCCGTAATCTGCTCTCAGCCTCATCTACTGCTTTTGATGCTGGTCATGTCCTTCTTGTCCGCACTTGTACTCCAGCTAAGCGCACCTTGTCATCTTTGGAATCTTTCAGAGTCTTGAATTCTTCCACTATAGATGTCAGCGGAAGTCGAAGGCTGATCTGCTGTAAAGGCCTATTAAAGTGAAGTTTGCTTAGGTGCTTGTTGACGATACGCTCCATCTTTTCTTTTCAAATCTCATATAGCATCAGGGGCCAGACTAAACGTAGTAGAGTCCATGTTGGTATTTGAACTTCCCTGGCAGACCTGTTTTGTCAATATTCCGCATCCCGTCACTTACTTGCTGTTCTATTTTCCCGATATTTGTCTTGTCTCCAAGTGTCTCGTCAAACCATTTTCCTAGACATTTTGATTGGATTTCCGATGATGGTTGGGATGTTCTGTTGTGTGACCTGTTGTGTCACTTTACCTGTCCTAAGGACAAGTGATCAGGACTTCTTGGGTTTAAAAGTCATTCTTGCCCAGGACGCAGTTTCTTCTAGAGCCTTTAAAATCCATCTAGCTTGTATGTGGGTTTCTATGCGATTGTTAGATCATTCATGAAGCCTCTGTTTGGTGGTTGTCGGATGTTGCTGGGTGTTTTTGGTCCCCTAGTTTCTCTTTCTCCTGCTTTTATAATTATATTCATGCCCATTACAAAGAGGATAACTTAGATGGTACATCCTGTTATGGTGCCCTTCTGGAGTTTTTGCCAAGATGTTGTAAAGCTAATGGTGGTAAATCGAATGTTAATCCCGCTGAAGTAGCTTCTTATGAGCCCTCTGAAGTGTTCTGGAATGTGGTAATGGACTAGTGATTCCTCTATAAGCCTATGTGGGGTGGTCCTATGTACATTAGCTAAATCTAACCATACTACTGTGAGGTTCTTTTTGTTGGCCTTAGCTTCTTGAATTAGCTGTGTAATGATGCTGGTATGTTCAATGCGTCCTGTAAAACCAGGTATTCATTCTTTCTGTACTGATGTGTCGATGTACTGGTTATTAACCATGTAGACTGTAATACTCTTTGCTAGAACTGAGAAGAAGATCTTGCCTTCCACATTCTAAAGTGAAATTGTGCGGAACTGGTTTATGCCTTCTGATTTCTCCTCCTTTGGTACAAAACATCCCTCAGCTTTATGCCAGCAAGGTGGTATCTTTGCCTTCCTCCAAACCACTTTCAAGAGCTTCCACAGGAGTCTTTGGACACTTTGTATATACTCTGTACGGGATACCATTAGGTCCAGGTACTGGCGCTGATCTAGCTTTCTTGACTATGTCTTGCACTTCCTTCCCATCCATTGGTATCTCTGGTTCTGGTACCTCACCAGGTGTTTCTCAACCTCCTCGTAGTGTTCCTGACCTGATCTAGTCCCCTCCAGTGTTGATTTGGTAAATCTATATCGATTTGCTATAAGCATTGCCCTCTTTTTCCCTCTTTGCCGTCTAGCTTGCCTTAATCTCTCGGGTTTTTGTAAATTGTTTCACTTCTCCCTCAAGATAGTTCTTAACTCACTAAGGCCTGCTTTTTCCTGGTCATTTGCTGTTTTGTATTTTTTTGGTTATGGTATTTATCTCGGGTCTTAGGTCTTGGATCTCCTTTTTGCGCCTATTTGGTGTTCCTTGTTTCTTCCCTTCCGTCTGTTATTTTCCTATGTACATCTTCTGTGTTGTTCAGAATCACAGGACGTTTAAGAAATTTTGGTTCAGTAAACCATATAGAGTCTATCAATTCCGACACGGAACTGCCTCTAGACCCAATGTCAGCAGGATTAAAGTTGGTTCTTTCATGATGCCATTCACTTGGTACAGAACGGTCGTGAATTTTTTGTACAAGATTTGCCACAAACATTTGAAGTTTATTGGTTTCTTTTATTGCAGATAAAGATTTTGGAAGATCCTCGCCAAACAATTGAGTACCTGTAATAGGAACACTCTTTGAACATAACGAACTAAATTCTTTATTAAGGGAAGGCTTTATCAAATCCCTTCTTTAGTAGGACAAGTCCTGTGAGGCATTTCCTAAAAGTGCAATAGCATCCACAAGTTGAGTTACAACCTCTGAAGAAGTATCCTTTTTTAGGAGGACATCCACAGAGTTGCTAATAGCAACTGAAGCTTTTATAATAGATTTCTGAATACCTGCCATTCTCAAGTCCTGAGTTTTGGTCATTTTGGAAAGTTTACCCCAGATTTCTTGGTTTACCAGAGGTACTGTGAGTTCTTCGCAGTTACTTGGTCTCAAATATTTTTCTGTTTTTTCTTTCAATTTGTCATCTGACAATTTATTGATAAACCTTTTGTTTACAATTGAAGCTAACCTATCCATTATTGGAGTTGTTGTTGGCTCGTCTCCATTAAATTCTGAATCTAGTTGAGTTAACAGATCAACATCATTTGATTGACTATTTGATAGAACATTTGATGGAGGCATCAAAGCTTCAGTGTCACTGACACTCATTTCACTTCCATCGCTGTCAATTTCATCAGATGAACTCATACTCATATTACGAGTCTTTTTATGTAGGCCTAGACCTAGTGGTTTAGTAATCCCATAATGTTTGCGTTTCCTGGTAACAGGAATCTGATTATTAGGAAGGCCTTGTACAGCATTCAACGATGTAAAGGAAGTGCCCATCAATCAAGTTCAAGATAGTATTTTGTGATGTAGGTAAAGGATCTGGTTCAGATTCAACAGTTATGTGCATAGCAACATCATTAGGATTTATGTCTAAAAGTTTGTCTTCCTCTGTAGTAGAAAGCACATCAGTCGACACAGCTGTATGTGACTTGCGTAAACTCGCCATTGCTTGAGTAGAACTATTGTAGCAATATTGGCCGTATGTCCAAAAAACGTAAAAAAGTTTATAAAAGGACGTGAAATTGTGTTATAACCTGGAGCGAAAGTTTCTAACTCACAGGCCAAACGACTTATTATAAAATAGAGATAAAAGATAGACTGTTCTATAGCGAAGCACGCCGAAAACTGACATCTACTGCGCATACCTTATCTCACATGGTTTCCGGAGTGACGTAGCAATAGTGTGAAGTAGAATTTGAAAACGACGAATGTCATTATTAACGTAACCTAACACTACGGACTATTAGTCCCAAAATACGGCACACATTCAGGATACTGTAGTTCCTTCTGCAACTCGGAATAGTTACAGCACGCAAAGGAGTCACTGTGGATTTACCCATAACCAGCGAACACCGAACTCGCTGTTGAACGTCCACAGGCCGTAAATACGAAATCCGAAACTGAAAGGCGTCGGCCTCAATACACCATTGAATACCCAAAACACGTTCAACCGGAAGTTATAGCCTCACCTATAGCCGCCATGTGTGTTAAAATTGTTACAGTAACATAGCGTAACAAAAGTTTCATCGTGAGAGTTACCGAATGATCGCAGAGGTGAGGACAAACTTTGAATGTCTGTCTCGGGTATTTTTACAGGATAGCGACCTTTGTTCCTCTCATGTGCGACCATGGATTTGACCAAGTCGTCATTAGAAGGTTAATGGGTTGGATATTCAAGTCTTTCTAGGGTTTAGAAAAGCCTTTCTCACATATCGCTGTCGCCGAGGAAGCTCGGTTAAACTCAAACGAGGCAGAAAGGGTTGAAATGAGTTACTTTTCTGCACGAGGCGTAAACGAGATTTACGTCCCATAATAAAATGAATATTTGGCATTTGAAAGAATCGGGACGGTTGTCTAGTTTTTTTGTCATCTGGAAAATACGCGGACAAAATCTAATGCAAATGGCTGAATCTGCATCTTCCATGAACAATACCTGATTGTGATCGTGGAAAGGGACATTAATTGCAATAACAAACAAATATTTCCAGGGAGCGCACCGAATCACAGCTGGGGTAAACTGTAACATTCAACGGGTAGGCCTAAACTGTATCATTCAACAGGTAAACCGTTACATTTAACACGGTTTGTCTCGAGTAAGTGTAATGATTCTAATCACACTCGTACAAATCGGCCGAGTTCCCCAAAATACTAACTAACTGAATCATTTTTTAAACCTCGTATGGAAATGGGGACGCATATTGCCGTCATCCCTTTACTTAGCTCCATCTGTAAAAAGCTATTGTGAGTTTTTTTTCTGACTTTAATGATATTTGGTGTGATCATTTATATTGATTATATCCAAATCTTGAACAAGTTCGAGTTTTTCTGTGAATGGTCTTCGAGTTATTGCCCCTGACTTAGTAAATACGCGTCAGAATTTGTTCGTGATCAAAAAAGATATATATCAATAGATTCCAACTACAAATTCATTATGAGAATCTTTATAATTCGCATTTATGTCACAAAAGACTCTTTATATTATTTCTGACAGCTGCCATATTGTATGTATGTTAGACTATCGTGCCTGGCAAACTATCTATATCGCGCAACACCACTTGTCTTTTTAGGGGCATTTTGGAATATTTGTCAATGATAAAAGTCCTTTTTCTTACAAAGTGTTTATTTGTAGTTTGAAGGGCTTGCGTGCAAAAGATCATGGCATGCTAAATTTCATAAGGCCCGGTCATTTCTATATGATTCATAAACATTACAATACGTCCTTTGAGTTTGAGTTCTAAACTGACCCTGACCTTTGAAATCCTACTTTTATTTTGCTCGGTTTTAACATAGAAAACATAATTATAGTATTCAAACAGACTCGTTTTACGTAATTTTATTTTTTACCATGCGTGTCATATAGCCTTTTGAATGGCTTTTTAGCTATTTGCCACGCGTGTTAAATATCTCTTGTCCTTTCAACTATCTGGACATGGCTTATTTTAGCACTGCTACCATTGGCCAAAGGGGAGTAACTCTTTTTTTTTAAATCTACAGCAAAGTGGAAGTAGCTGCATGGATCAGGTTGTAGCCTAAATAATGTCTATTTGTTCAAGCAAATTACCCAAATTTACAGAGTTTGGGAAGAAAATAGTTGGCGTTGGTGCTAATTACAAGTTCGTATCCTTACTTTCTTTGCATATGGACTATATTTAGACACATCATAATATAGTTTACCCCAAAGCAGTGTGGTATTATTTACACTGTAGTCCGAAACCTTGAACTTGCTAAGGCCTCTTTCGCCTACTTTCATCGGTGAAGCTATTTTTAAAGGGCAGTATGCAAAATTTTCATTAACAAAACCGTCGTAAAGTATCCCTGAAAATATTTCTAAAATAGGGTCCATGCAAACTGAATTTGTTTTAAAGGGGTCGATATAAAAAGCGCACAAGGCCTAATTGTTAATCAAGCAGTTTTGGTGTTTGGCTTTATAATGGCTCAAATTATTAGTTGGAACCTTCAGAAAAAGAAGGAAACATATTTCTCTTTATTTAGGTGTTTACTTGGATTTCTTACATTTACGGAAAACAATAACGAATTTAAAAGTTTACGTAAACTTTTTAAATTGTTTGGCGTGAAAAAATTCACGGCTGCATTTTTTTCATTTAGTTAAAACCTTCAGATATTCTTTGAGGGTCAAATTGTATAGTTTTCATAAATTTGAGCAATGAAATTTTCGACGGCAAAAAAAAAACATAATGCCCCTCTTTTAAATTTCAACATTTTGATGATTTCGCATACTTTCACTGCTGTTAAGGAAATATAGTATTATAAGAAAAGTTCAGTATTCAACGTACAGATTAGTTTTTGAAATATTTACTTTTGAAAGTTTTTATAATCTGATATATTATATAGCTTAAACGTTGTAGACATTTTTTTTCTTCTATAGTGCTCTGCTTGAAGCATTTTTCAATGGTAAAAAACCAACAGCACCAATAATATTTCTGAAACCACCTTCAGCCTATGTTACAGTTGGTAAACCTATACGGGTAATTTATGTGTGTCGATTTATCGTTCGTCCCTATCTGTCTGTCCGTCTGTCTCACCCACCATAGTGAGCTGGTTTCATGACTGATGGTAATGGAACTTTCTAATACTGTTCATATCAGTATATACAGAAGAAGTCTATTTATTTAGTTATTGCCTTTGACTCCGAAACATTTGGGGCACTGTACAGAGCCGAATTCTTCATGGATTTTGATGAAACTATGATTTAGTATAATCTGTATCAACATAGGGAAGAAGCCTATTGAAATTTAGAGTTTTATGATTTATATTTCCAGAGTTATTACCCTTTACTTTCTAAACCTTGTGGATGCTATAAAGAGTATATTAGAATAAGGGAAAGGCCTATTGAAATTCAGAGTTTTCCTACAAAAAAAATATTTTAATCTTTATATAAATTGCACCTAAACTAAACATTGTTTATCGTCCTATATCCGAGAACATTGCGTCTTTTCTATTTAAGCTTATCTGGCGTTCATGACTATAATAACTTACTAGTCGCTGAAGCACAGTCACCAGATTCTGCTTAAAAAAATCAAACCTGTTATAGTGTCTATTTTTTTTGTGCCAGAATCTGGTGTCTGTGTGTTGAAAATTATGTACATGAATATAATATTCCTTTCGTTGTACGATGCTTCTTAACTCTTCACAGGAATTGTATTCCAACAAACTTTTTTTATCCTTTTTTTTTTGCAGATTCCAAAAATTTGTCAAAATGTAAATTATGAAGTGGAACTGGGAGTTATTATTGGTCAAAAAGGATTTGATATTCCAGAAAATAAGGCTATGGATTTTGTAGGAGGATACACATGTGCCTTAGATTTAACCGATTTTGGTACCTTAGGGACGTCGAGAGAAGCTAGAGGACCTTGGTCGTTGGCGAAAGGATTTGATTCGTCGTGTCCAGTGGGAGATTTTATTCCCAAAAATCGTATCCCAGAGCCCGATAACCTGAAAATATGGCTTAAGGTTAATAACACACTAAAACAAGATGACAACACTGGAAATCTTATCTTCACCTTACCCCAGCTTATAAGCTACATCAGTAAATATATGACTCTAGAGCCAGGAGATCTCATAGTAACGGGAACACCTGATGGATATGGACCCGTGTCACATGGTGATAAAATCAAAGCTGGCCTAGGCGATGTAACTGAAATCAGTTTTGAAATTGAACGACTTTGATATTGAAATTAAAGTATTGTTTTTCAATAGTTTGTCAACCTTTTGTTTGTGCTTTGTTTTTCTGCTGTTTTTATACCCATGTCTGTCCGTCTGTCTGTCCACAATTGCTAGTAAACACTCTAGAGGGAAAAATTCCTGATGGATTTTGACGAAACTTGGTGTAAGTGTTTGTAATCACCCAATGATAAACTCTATTAAAAATCAGAAAAATCGAAAATTATCTAGTATTAGTTATTGTCCTTGTTCTTGAAAACGCTCTAAATTTGAGCTTTTTAACACTCTAGAAGGCACATTCCAGACGGATTTGTTATCATCAAAGGATGAACTCTATTATTGAAAATCAGAAAAATCGAACAATAGTTAGTATGAGTCATTGCCCATGTTTTTTTGACGAAACTTATTTTGAGTGTTTGTTATCAGCTATTTTATTACAGTCAAGTAACCTTATTTCGTGCTATAACCTATTTTTCGTGCATCTCCGGAAATGATTAGGCCTAATAATTTACATCTGCGATCTCGCGTGACCTCCGCACTTGCTTCTTTTGATAATATCAGTGTTGTGGGATTGATCACAAAGCGTCTTTTTTATGAGATTTCCGACAGTTGACAGTGGGCGTATTTACATTGCCTGATACGCTATCTTGAAAGTTGAAAGTGACGAATCTACGTCAGAGGCCCAGAGCGTTCTGTTTGTAAGTCTATGCATAGGACTATCCTATGTGATTACAAATTGTGCCATAAAATGATCGGGAATAGTATTAGTGCAACTTTTTACTATTGGTTGGTAATGCGCGTTTCTGATTAACATCAAACGTGGAATTTCGACGATGGTGGTTGACATGATTTCCTGTTTTTCTTCGTTTATTCACACATAGAACTGTACAACTGCGATTCAAAGAACTGTTTACTGAATCCCGACGGCTAAATCTTTAAGTCTATCAAACTTATCGTCTGCTAACCAACGTTGAACGGTTTTCATCTGATATTTCGTGCTTTATCCTGCCATTATTTGGATTTGACGGCCAACATTCCAGTCATTTTTATACGCCCAAATGAAATGTGGGACGTATATTGCCGTCACCAATGTTCGACCGTCCGTCCACAATTTCTCATAAACACTCTATAAGACACAATTCTTGACGGATTTCCACGAAACTTGGTATGGTTGTTTGTAATCACCCAAGGATGAACCTTATTAAAAATAAAAAAAATCGAAAAATATTTAGTATGAGTTATTGCCCATGTTCTTGAAAACGCATTCAATTTTTAGACTGTAAGCACTCTAGAAGGCCCAATTCTTGAAAGATTTTGATGAAACTTGGTATTATTATTCAAAAAGTGCAAAAGATGTGTACGACTGGAGGTTTAATATTTCATACTGGTAATTGTTAATGTACTGCCAAATATTTTTATTTAAAATCAATTACCTTGTCTTGCAAGCTATCTTTAATTTTTTGCGCTTCGTGTTTGTTTTACTATGTTTTTTAAATTCTAAATTCATTATGTTGTGTATTTTTCTATACGTTTAATTATTTAAAGTTCGCAACTAAAATACCTTGATTTAGTGACTGCTAAGATAACGTCTGCCAGATTGCCTTCAGCCTGGTAAAGTTCATAACCTCTCTCAGGTCAGGGGAACAAAATGTCATATTCAAAATTAACTCGGTTCTCAGAGATTGGAAAGAAGATTATTGCTGTGGGAAGAAATTATAGGTAGTTATTTTCCTTTGTAAGAAACTGTCATGAATAGTCAAGGTATTTTCTTCTCCGACAACCTAAAATAGGTCGGGATGTAAAAGGCTGTGTAGTGTGTTGTGGCTGTATGGTGAGTCCGAAGTCCAGTCCAACTGCTTATCGTCAAAATTTGAACTTTCTTATGCAAGTTTTTGCTATTCATAATTATACGTGTTAGTCTTATTTCTTAATAAGTTTTTCTGTCATTTAGCTTGAGATTAGATATATCATATAATTTGCTAGAGAATGAATATTAAAACTTATTGAACCCTCAGAAAATTTGATGGATTTTATAATTGATCTATTTCAGTGAACATGCAGCAGAATTAGGAAATGCAGTGCCTTCTAAACCAATTATATTCTTAAAACCAACTTCCTCTTATGTCAAATCTGGTCAAGCAATAAAGGTAGAATTATTCTTCTTTGCAACTAAGCCTATTTTTCATGGATATCCTGATTTATTTCAGATTTAACTTCTTACTTTTCTCTTCTAAAATGTACCTGATGCTTAATTTGTATACGCCCACATTATAATGTGATCATATATTGTTGTCGATCCGATGGTCCACAATTTGGTGTAATCATTATCTTCATGATATCTTGGTCAAGTTCGAAGTTGAAGATCTTTCAATGAACGGTTTTTGAGTTATTGCCCTTGACTTAGGAAAACTGCTTCATGATTTGTTTGTGAACATAATAACGACTACAGTTTTCATCCAATTTATATGAAATTTTGTGTGACCATTTATAATGATGAGATCTTGGACAAGTTCAAATTTGACGATTTTTCGATCAATGGAATTTGAGTTATTGCCCTTGACTTAGTAAAAACTCTTCAAAATTTGTTAGCTCGTAAATGAGATAGAGGTGACATTGTCAGAGGTGTTTATGTCATAATTTTATTAGATTTTGTGTGTTTGTTTCAATTTTTCTTGATACATCCACAACTGCAAGTGTCAGATGTAAGAAAATAAAGCTTTATAAGAGAAATTTCTACGTAAGCCTATCAGTATTTTCAACACCAAAAAAACCCTTCAGCATCATTGGTCTTTGCCCCCTTGAGCCCCTACAGATATCTGCCCTTTCCGTGTTCCTAGAGCCTAAAGTCGTGTAAAGTGTAAAAAGACTGTGGTGTTTTGGCATTTAACTTAACTACTAGTATATTGCAATGGTTGTTTTAGCAAGAGAACCTAAATCACTATAAAAATGTTTTTCAGATACCAAATGGTTGTAGTAGCCTTCATCATGAAGTTGAATTAGGTATCGTGATAGATCAGAAGGGTTGTGATATACCAGAAAGTAAAGCTATGGATTATGTCGGGGGATATGTCTTGGCTTTAGATATGACTGCCAGAGATTTCCAAGATGAAGCTAAGAAAAAAGGACATCCATGGTCTTTGGCAAAAGGCTTTGACACATCATGTCCTATTGGTAATTTCATATCCAAAGAAAGTCTAGCTGACCCTGGAAACGCGCATTTATGGTTGAAAGTGAATGATACAATGAAACAAGATGGTAATACAAAAGATATGATTTTCAGTATCCCCTACCTAATCAGTTATATTAGTGGATATTTTACATTAGAGCCAGGTGATTTGATATTGACTGGAACACCATCTGGTGTTGGTCCTGTGACTCAAGGAGATGTTATTAAGGCAGGTCTAGATGGGATTTCAGAATTAGAATTTAAAGTGGAGCAGAAATAAGTTTCAACATCATTTTGATAATCATGAAAGGAATATAGCTGTCTGAACATTTTCTTTAAAGATGTCTGTCCAATCATCCAGGTCATTAAAAACATTGCTTAATCATTGATATTGATTTAAAAAGATCTTTACCTATACAAGGTTTACCATTATAGTCAAACATTGTAAAAATGTAAAGAGACAGAGACAGTGACTTTTAGACAGTTATATTCGTTTAGAGATTGTCTATACAGACAATGTCAAATAGATATATTTGATAAAAAAGATATATGTTTTTTTATAAAATTGTTATGGTTCAAGCTTTAATACCAAATAAGCTTTTATAATGTTTTATTATGTGTCCACACACAACCAATTGTGTTGTAGAAATCCTTATTTGAAACACAAAAATTCCTTTATATATATTATATCTTACATTCATACACGGCAATGATTACAGATATCTTGAAATTTCCGGCTAAAAATCGGAGGTATCTTCTTATTAGTTTCAATGTGGACTGCGGATGGTTGTTTTAATATGAATTTCTTCCACTTACTATATAGTATAATAAATTTACATGCATTTCACTTTATCAATTGAATGAATGAATGAATTAATGGAATGAATGATTATATATTATTTTTTGAATGATCTCAGAAAATTTGTAATTTGATGCAATTACATATATAGTATTATGTATGAAATTAAATTGTTTTGTCATATGGCTTTATTTTGTTGTTCTTCTATCCTCACAAAAACTTGGTGACTTCCATTACAGCCAAATGGTTATGGAGGTCATGACATGTCACTGTCCAAGTTTTCTGGAGTTGCATATAACAGACTGGAGACCCATTATATAAATTAGTATGTTTATGGTCAAATTTTTAGGAATTTCATGTCAACAGATGTCAGACTGGAAATCAGTATATAAATGGTGAAGATTTTAGAAATTACATAACAGACATCAGACTGGAAATCAGTATATAAATAGTCATGTTTTCTAGAATAACATGCTAGTGGTCAGTCTGAATCTTTAACTGCTGGTATGACAATGGTTTCGTATGGGAGAAGGGGTCATCAACAATTCACCAATATCAATAATGGTGCTAATTACACATTACATGTGTACTCAATAAAAAATCGGACCAGAGTAATTCCTTGGCAAATCCAATTTTCTGCTTACATGTGTTCTCAAGCTCAAAACATCTATACGAGCACTGGATAGCCAATTGAGCTATGACGACTACAGACAGATGGCAAGGTGCCTTTATGATATTGTTACTGTAGGGGACTTTCTCCTCCTTTGTTTATAGATCCAATACCACTCTGCTTCTTTGACAGTTCTGCAGAATCAATGTACATTTGAATTACACCTTCATACACATGCAACATATAATAAATGAAAAAATCGTGTATTCTACCTGTATATTTTTTCGTAATTCAGTATAATTTACAAGTTCTGTGTAACATAAATCAGAAAACATGCCAACAATTCATAAAATTACACAATAGAATTGGTTAAAATGAACCCTTGGGTTTCAATAAATATATGCTCTTTTAGACAGAAATGTTCAGGTAAAGGATTAGTATTGTTTTGTCAGGAAATGCCTGTATCAATAAGCAGTCACATTTAACTGACTAAGATGCAAATACTGCTTTCTATTGTGCATCAAAACGTGACAAATAGACACAGCCATGATCAAAACAATTCCTTTATAAAAGTTAAAGAGATTGTAAAACGGTTTTATAAATTTTATATGTTTATCAGGGAACTTCATCAATTAGGGCCATTCTGTTATTTCTCTAAAACCAAATGTTTGATGATGTCACTCATTGCAAAAGACCTTATGTGATAAAGCTTATTTCGTGATTAGTGACATCATCAAACACTTATTTTTTGTGGAATTGCAGGAAATTGATTGCAAATTGGAATGGTGCAAATTGATGCTATCAGTATCACTCATACACATACAAAATTTAGAAAACCTCTTTACAATCCCTTACAGTACCTTTTTGCATATATATTCTATAAATTACATCATGAATTATATAATTATATCAATCATCTTGTCATTTACATATTTTTTTGCTAATTCCCTAATTTAGTCATCTTAATTTATTACAAAATATACAAAGGTTGTGTATATCCACACAAGCACTTTACAAAAGAGATTCAAAAGAGGATATCTATGGAGGAGACTAAAAGCTTCCATTTGGGCCATTCCAATTTCTAATTTAGCATCTACTTTCTTTAATTCCACAAGATCGCATTATAGTATCGAATTCATGGACAATAACTTGTGATATATGAACCAGTTTTTCTGGATTTATAGAAATTGGAAATGGTGCTGTAAGCTATTTGTCACCTAAAAGACATAGAAGACCATTTTTGAATCACTTCAAACATAACAATGAGGTCAAAGAAGGTTTCCTATCATATGCATGTTTCTGAGCACTATCACTATATTCTTTATTTTGGATTTATTTTCCAGGCAAATGTTTTTTTTTTCCTTCAGTGAGCATAGGGAAAGTAGAATTATTCATATTGGATTAATTATCAGATTGGTCCAAAACTAAAATTTTACTAAGTGATATTGAACAAATAAATAATTATAAATCTACAACTCATCTGGGATCTTGCAAGTAACATTTCAAGAAATCAACTCCTCAGACAAAAAAAGAAGAGAAAAACAATGCGTCATCAATTTGTAAAAGACAAAGAACCTTTTATATCTTAATTCGTCAACAAAATAAATATCAATGCTTTTTCAATGATGCAAGTAACATAATTCAGAAAAAAAATGGATTAATTTCATTACAAGTGATTTAAATTGCCAGAGTATACCATACCATTATGATACACTACAAAATCTGATTCCAATAAATACATTAATATAGTCTCACATCACTGTTAGTTGAGTTTTTACAAATACTACCTTCTTAGGATGACAAAAAAAATTGAAATTTTCAACCTTGGCGAAAATGAATGTTTATCAGTGGATTTACCTGGTGTCATAACTATACAACAGAATCCCTCTATAATCCAATAAATCTATGAACCTAAGTAATAATTATTTAGTTTAATGGATATATCATTTTAAATAGAGATTCAATTCTTAGTCATGGCACTCTGTAAGTTCACTTAAAGAATATATACACTTATTGACCAAGTAAGATACTTCAAATTTGATGTCCATTCTAAGAGGTTAAGACTTGTGACTTAGATTTGTATTGTCAATCTCATTTATTTGGAATAAAAATGTCAGTTATTTCCAATAGCAGTTAAATCGCAACTAGATTGTCAGCCTCTGATTCATGCAAAGTGTGTAGTGTTCTCTGATTCTTTCAATGCCCCAAACCAGTATCACAATATAATTTGATTATTTTCACAAATAAATTTAACGAAGAGATCGGTTAACAGTTTAGTAGTATCTGATACTGGCACAACAATTGATTGAATGCTCCAGATTACAGGGTAAGCTTACTTTCAAAATATTGGAAATTTAATTCATAGATATATCCAAAGCCGCTACCAGGAATATTGGGAATGACGTTCTTCTATGATACGAGTTGACAGCTTTAGAGCTTTTGTCAATATGAAGGCTGAGATTAAGCCTTTAATAACATGGTTCTGAATAGAAAACTGGTCAAAAGCTTATATTAAGATCACAAATTTGATTTTTTTTCAACACATATTAACATTTTAACCTTTGATAATAATAACTTAAAACTGTAATTGTAAGAAACAGCAAATAAAGATTGGCTTTAAGTATAGTACATTTGGATTGCAATCTGCAGCAAAATGACAAAATCATATTGATTAAAAGCTGATAAATTTGTTTTTCAGCTGCTGAGGACAATCCATGAAGTTTCAAAAAATATTTTTGTCAGCATCAAAGTCAATGACAAATTCCCTTGGTCAACATGTCCATTCTGGACTGTTTCATATATTGAGTTGACTCAAGGGAGTTAAAAGTAAGAGACTATTATTATCATTTAATCCAGTCCACTACCCAAATGTACCATAAAGTATTAAGTTTGTATTGGTGCTAATTATTTAATAATCATCTATATCAAAATCATCATATTCCTGCAAGTCTGGATGAAACATCTGGAAATCTACTTGGTACCGTAATATACCTGTAATATAAACAACATCTTATTTAACTAACATTATATCAGATGTATATTCCTTTCAAGGTAAAACAAAAAGTAGAGTAAATATTGACTGGAAAAAAACAAGGCAATAAAGGGACAGATTAGCCATTATTGTGTATAGTCTTCAGATGGACAAGAAATGTACAAAAATCACATTTCTTCAAAAATACCTTAAACTTTGAATTTCACTTTCTCAATCAGAATCTCAATAAAGACGAGTTGTCTTTTAAACTTTTGAATGCTAATAATTCTGGATGTGTTGGAAGGCTCAAATATAACTGATTCGATTAGCTAAAAAATTCCTGTTTTTGATACTTCGATACTTTGTCAAACAAATGATGAATCTGTCTTTACATTATATTGAATGATAAAAAATACCACCAATTTAAAGAGCTTTATTTTTTTAAAATCCAATACCAGTATATAGATTCATTTGAGTTCCCTAATTTGATTATCAGTTATTTTTGCAAGCGTTAATGTGCTAAAAAATCAAACCATTAAAATAAACTAAACAAAGGATAATTTGACTCTAAAATCTGCAACTATAACGGAAAAAGAACAAGAATTTTTTTCAAGAAAGTGCAAATTTTTTTCTGGCATTAATGTTTGTTTTACTGTTGACTTTCAGAAGAGTAGTAACTATTTTATCACTTATGTTTGCTCAGATATATTTAATAGTTATAATCAAATCTTTATCATTGGATTGACAGATCTAAATAGTCATCACTGCAAACATTTCATAGCGAATATTCTTACAATGAATTTAGAAAATTCTATTCCTGTTATTTCTTTTAAATATCTTTGATTTCCTTCCTGTCCATATAATGATAAAAGTTTGCTCAGTTAGATTTAAAGTTGTAATCACATCTTTATCATTGGATTGACAGATCTAAATAGTCATCATAGCAAACATTTCATAGCAAAAGACATACATTCAATCCTGCCTTTTTAATGTCATTAATAAAAGTTTGCTCAGCCATGTGAAAAGTTGTAATCAAATGTTTATCATTGGATTGACAGATCTAAATAGTCATCATAGCAAACATTTCATAGCAAAAGACATACATTCAATCCTGCCTTTTTAATGTCATTAATAAAAGTTTGCTCAGCCATGTGAAAAGTTGTAATCAAATGTTTATCATTGGATTGACAGAACTAAATAGTCATCATAGCAAACATTCCATAAAATTTTTTCCAAGAATTTAAGAGCTTGACAAATCTGAAGAGACATTACTACAAACTATTTATTACTCCAGAACTCTTTTTCTCCAAATTCTATTAGGCCACACCAATTCAATTAGTTGAATTACGGGCAAAACTTTTGAAAAAAGCAGGGAGCAGGGGGGGATAAAAATAAATAAAAAAAAATCTGCATTTCAAGAAGACGAAAAAGGAATGTATTTAAAACTTTATTTATATCCTTTGGAAACAAACAAACACCAGATTAAACCTTATGGATTTAAAATTAAATTGTCTTAAAACTGCTACGGGTGTAACTATCTCTACATCGGTAGTTTCATGGTCTATTTCGATACCGGCTTTAACGCTGGAGACGGTTACTTCTTCTGTGTCCTGCCATCCGGAGCGCGTCAACAAATTACCAACATTTTCGTCATCAGAGGCACGCACTATAGTTCGTTTTGTGACACGGCCCTTGGAGACGTTGATATAAACATCGAGTTCAACGCTCATTTTCTCACATTTTCACATAGATGTATTTTCATCACAACAATTGAATAATGGCCGACGAGAGAATTTTTACAAAATTTGCAGACTGGAACGAACCAAATGACAAATCATGTGTTGTTGGTTTATTTTATTTTTTGAAAGGCTTTTCCAGATTTCCAGAACTAATCTCATAATACAACAAATTTTAAAACTATCTAGCCAACAATCAACATATTACAAACCAATTTATCTTTCGAATGAAAATAGCTTCAGTTCAAGATTTATTTTAGAAATTTGCAGGCACCTCATTTGCATAGTCGTACTTGCTTTGTAGTACCGTTATCAAAAACATCGTGGAACTAGCCTTTTGTCTCATTAACACTGACTGACCATTCAACAGTGAACGCTTTCGCTAAGCGAGTACAACTTATCAACCGAGTTACGTCCCTTTAGGATTTCGTGTTGAAATTTTTACATCGGCGGACACAGTAAGAATAAAAAAATAATAGATTTTTTCATTTTTATTTTTATTGGGATTCGTCAAAAAAGCAGGTCGGCGGGCCCGTAATCCAAGTTTATAAATTGGTGTCGCCTTATATAGATCTGAAATAATTTATCTCTTACCTCCAATTCCACCAAATCCTCTCACAAATTGGGCACCTTCTTGGGATTTATCTGTAATAATTTCTAATGTGGCACCTGTAAATGAAACAATTGTTGATAGAAAACAGATTCATTTTAGACTCTTTGACAAATTACATGTGCACTCGACAATGGAATAACTAACATTAAGGTGTTCTCTAGAAGGATATTAGTAAAATAAGTCAATTACATGTTAAACAAAACCTTGAGTACTATCACTATGATTATGAATGATAGACCAATTGCTATGTCAAATTTCTCTATGCCTAGTTTGACGCTGAGAAAACAATATATATTTTATCAGTAACACAAAGGCAATATTCTGTAACTGTTATAAAGTTAATTTTAGACACATACCAAAGTTTTTATAATTATTAGCAAACCATTCTAATAGGGATACTTGTTCAACCATTTCCATTTCAACACCCGTCTAAAAACATCAAATATATAGAAATAAATCGAAACTGTGACATGCTTGATTGTGCTATAACCTCCTATTATGCAGGGAGAATTGAATCAACTGATTTATAATCAATAAAAAATAGCTCCAGATAACAAAAAGGAGTTTTACTTCCACTATGTTATCCAGTCTAACAAAGACAACTTGTAATATTTAAAATCATTATTACAATCTAAACAGTCTAGCAACATATTCTTATGATTGTTTGATCTTTAAAATCTTGAAAAATAAAATATTTTTCATATGATGCTTTTTACTTTTAAGGCTAAAATTGTGGCTGCCACTTTGACTTCGTCACTATTTTTTTTACAACAGTGATAACTGAAATAGCCGCAAATAATATCAGACTTACGTCTTTGTCTGTGAAATTGGTTTTATCAGATTCTTGATCAGGTTGTAAAAATAAAATACGATTTTCTGAAAAAGATAAAGCCTTCCATGAGATAATGGTACTTTTCATTGAGGATATATTCATCAATTGGACCAGGTACAAGAACTCTTACTAAGTCTAATGGATTATTACTTAGTTTTTTGGATCTATTGGATTATAGAGTGATTCTGTTGTATAGTTATGACACCAGGTAAGTCCGATGATGAACAAACACTTATTTTAAGAGGATAAGATTGCTTGTTTTGATGGCATTGAATCATTCCCAGATGTGTACTAATATCCTTGTTGGACTATAATCATGAGTAACTGGAACTATTGACAGACAAGGGGTTAATAATTTTTGGAATGTTTGACAAAATTTTGAGTACTATCACTATGAATGATAGACCAATTGCTATGTCAAATTTCTCTATGCCTAGTTTGACGCCGAGAAAACAATATTTATTTTATCAGTAACACAAAGGCAAACAATTCTAAGAGAATCCAATTTTATCTATGAAAGGGATTGTTAAGAGGTTTTTTAATATTTTTTATGTGAGACACCGATAGCATTAATTTGCACCACTCCAATTTCAATCAGACTGTGGTTCCTGCAATTCCACTAAAACTAAGTGTTTGATGCCATCAGACGTCTGATTGAAAATTGGAATGGTGCAAATTGATGCTATCAGTGTACCTGATACACATACATTTTTTTAGAAAACCTTTCAGAATGGTTATTTAACAATCATTGTAAGCTAGGTAACTGGTATCTAAGTATTATTTTTAAAGCCTACCTTCTGTTGAGTGATCACGAACCACAAATCTAGTAATACTAAGATTTTCCCATACAATAAGGGTATCAACAGCTCCCATTTCTAGAGCTCTTAATGTATCTTCTACACCAAAACAATACTTTCCTGTATCTTGAGATATTTCATCAAAATATCGACCTAAAAGTAACATAATCACATAAATATTGGATTTTATACAATCATATTCTCAACTTTGGATAACAAATGTAGTCAATTGTGTACATAGCTTATTTTCAAATGTAGCACATTAGAGGATCAACTTGAAAAAGAATTCAATGGAATTTTAAGTCCCATTCTTCTGGCTGCACCTCGTGGGCTAATGAGGGCTGGAAATGCCTTGCTGTGTATAATAAGGGAAATTTTGCCAGGAACAGCATTAGCCTACTCTTTTTTTTTCCATTTCAAACTGTCAAGGAATCTTTAACATGTACAACCGGTAGCACAAGAGGCCTCAGTTTTTCCATGTCAGCCCCTTCTACTTGACAAGGGGAAACTTATAAATGAATGAAAATTTGATAAAAAAAAAAAGTCATACCGATTAATTTTTTTTCTTGTATAAATTTGACATTAGCTAATGAATCAGCTGCTAATTCTATAGCCTGATTAAAACCATTTTCACCACCATATGATACATCTACTATTTTCAATATCTTAGCTTGTAATCTCTGCAACACATAATGTTCACATTTTAAAAGGGATACTCAGATATTTTCGTCCGCCAGAAAATTGTTTTGCTCAAATTTATGAAGACTGTATACCAAATCCCATGTGTGTCTCTTACAGTTCGGTTCCTTTATTTTCATTTATGTATATATATATTCCATTATTGGGCGGCTAATGCTTATATAAATCGAAAGCAGAGGTGTTCTTATGATTGGGAAAAATACCAGTTTGATGCAAAGTCGATAATTAACTATAGTAAATTGCTTATTATGACGGAATTCCAATGATCGAGCTGTCACTTAATAAAGATTATCAAGTCTCAAAATTTCCATAAAGAGGTAACTCTATTTCACAGCAGAACATTACCAAAACAGCCAAATACCAACCTATTTTTATTCAAAATACGGAGAATGTATTTAATTACATTATTTCTAACTTACAAATATGTCCTTTAAAAATGGTGTGGCTAATAATTTTTTATACAAAAAAGTGGCTAGATTATCACCATTTTATTTTAGTCAGTGAGTAAACAAGGATTCTATTTGTAGGATTTCAGTAAATTTGATTTCCAAACTTTTCTATATCCTCACACAATCTTAACAATCAATGAAGGCAAGCTGCAGCTCTGGTTGATCAGTTCAAGTTGACATTTACTGGAGAAGAAATGACAAGAAAGTCCCAAGCTTGTTCATGTTAATTAGCATATTTAGTATTAAGTTTTAAAACATGTTAATTTCTCACCTGATCGAACATATCAGATTGACTAAGTTCAGTTTTAAAATCAGCAGAACCAGCTAATACTAATCCAGCTACATTAGGTTTATCATTGGTAATAAATAATTGGACAGCAACTTCAGCTACTTTACGTACATAGTTGTGACGTTTTTCCATTCTCAATCGGGCAAAACGCAATGCCGACTGACCTCCTCTACCTGTATTATAATAATCAAACAAAACATGATAATATTCAATTGTCAAGTAATTATATTGAACTTCAGCTATCACAAACTTCATCTTATACTCTGACTGCAATAGCTACCGTTCTTGAATCACAGACTGCAGCGATTTGATTGGATTATATGCCAGAGATTACAGCCAATCAAGGCCCTTGATATAAACTGTAACCATTTTGGCTTATTGTTAGCAGCCTTTCAATCTGACTCTGATTGGCTGAATTCGATCTAATCGAGTCAACTTTGTTGAAGTTTGACAGGTAGCCATTATTGCAGTCAAGGTATAAGGTCGTAATAGTTTTACATTGTGAAGATGTATGATATGAATTAAACATTTGAAATTTTCTTTGCCTGAATGTACCTACCGTGTTTCTTTGGTAAATCAACAGTAAATTTATGGAGGATTTCTCTCGTATTTCCTGATAATGTTCCAAAAAGAGCACCATTACCATCCATAATAATGAAACCAAATTTATTATCATCAGCTAATAATGCAGTCAAGGCCTGTAAAAAGTGAAGAAAAATGTATGGAAATGTGCTGTCAGTAACAAATATCGACATGGTGTTGACATTTTATGATACATGGAAAATGTCATGTATGTAGGTCATGTTTTTAGAATAAATTTAATAACACTGCAGGTTGGTAGAAGTGTGAAAATATGCTATTGTTTTAAATACAATTGTTTTAACCTTACACTATCTTTTTGAAGAAAAATTCAAAGGGAAAAAAAAGCAATGGCTGCATACAAAAATTGTATATAAAACATAAGACACCTCTTTTAACTTTTGGTTTGTCAGTCAATTCACAGCCACAGCCCTAACAATATGACCAGTTAAGCACGGTTTTAATCAATAGGGTAATGTTGATATCTAACATGACTTGACACTTATTTTTACAGCTGTGCAACTAACAGGATATACAGATGACATTGCAAGGGTATATGGTGATTGAATGGCAAGAATTTCAATCTTTATCATCATCATAGATTTGAAGTATTGTTGGTGTTAAGAGTGAGGTATAAGCTTAATTATGTAAAGCGTCTTACTTCTGAATCATTATATTATTATTATGTAATTACCCTTCTACAAACTGTTTCAGGACCAAAAATATGTCAAATTTTTTATGTAGTCATTTTAATACAAATTTTTGTTTACCTCTGTATGGAATTTATTGTCACATAAATATAATGAGGTGTTGATAGGGCGGAAAGGTTCAAAATCTATGTTGACTTTTTTTTCTTTGCCCTCTTCTGTTATAATTGTACCACAATATATAACTAAACCATTGGGAGGAACTGCAATTGAAACAACAAGACATATTAGTTGAATCCATTTACAGATATTGATTTTTTGACCAACTGCCATGAATATCATGAAACACAAGGCAGACCAGGGCTACAATATAAGCTTACATATTGTTAAATCATATAAGCTAACCAACACACTAAGCTAAAGAAATCCTTCTGAAACTAAAGAGCCTACAGTATTTTTAATTTTGTGTCAACAACAGAACTCTATGGAGCCATAAATAATGCAATTTTTCCAAACTTTCTATAGTCACAAACTTCAAAAATTTCAAAATATAATCCTTTAGATTGTAAGCTTATTCACTACAGGTTAGTTTGAGGACATAAAAATGAACAAAAGGGGCTATAAATAAAATATAACTTTTCTAGGGTAAAGAAAAATAACCCATGCCAAGTAGAATCTAGCACAGTACACCAAACAGCCTTGGGATAACAACATTGATATCAAGGGTTAGGTATTGCAACCGTCTTTGAACAGACCCTTACGATCTCAAGATGACAGCAACCTAAATTAGCTGAAAAAAATTATCAAAACAGCATAATTATCATATACCAGTACTTATTACGATTCACTGAAATAAAAGCACTCATGTTTAGCTTATTTTCACTTTAAAGAAGCTATTTTCACCTTTATTGTATAATTTGAGTCTTTGTTGTACAGAGGTGATAGCTCCTAACACAGAGAGTCTATTGACACGACTTTTGATATTTGATGCTGTACCATATTCATCAGCCAACATTTTATTTACACGTGAAACTTGATCTTTTGGTGGAATGATCAGAGATATCATGCTCGTTCCATTTCTAAAATACAACAAGAAGAATTCAATAGACAGATGTTGCACCACAGTTGACAATAATATTATGTAAGAAGCTGNACATCAGCAAAAAATATTGATACTA